AAGAAACTGGCTGACGACAGACAAACTGGCTGACGGACAGACAAACTGGCTGACGGACAGACAAACTGGCTGACGGACAGACAGCTAGCTGACGGACAGACAGCTGGCTGACGAACAGACAGACTGGCTGACGGACAGACAGACTGGCTGACGGATAGACAGACTGGCTGACGGACAGACAGACTGGCTGGTTGACGGGCTGACGGACAGACTAACGGACGGACTGACGGACGGACAGACTGGTTGACGGACGGAAAGACAGACGGACAGACAGACTGGCTGGTTGACGGGCTGACGAACAGACTAACGGACGGACTGACAGACTGGTTGACGGACGGAAAGACAGACAGACTTGTTGACGGACGGAAAGACAGACAGACTGGCTGACAGACAGAGAGAGAGAGACAGATTGTTTACTACCCTGCTCCAGTATTTCTCCAGAGTTGACTGAATATTGTAAACTACCTTTGTACTGTATGTATGATACTAAACAATATTAATTTTTAATATTTTCATAATTCTAATGTAAATAAATATGTGTATATATAATTGTCACTATTCCCGTCACCTTGGATGCAATTACGCTCGGAGAATATATTCCGCAGTCGTAAAGACATCCAAATTGTGACCATGTTACTGAGGAACAATGCATTTTAATAATTAAATTTGTTCACAGAATTGGTTACTTGGAAGAGCAGCTGGGCGTAAACCAGAAGGCCCGGTTCGTATCCCAGTCGCAGCAACCAATTCTTTGAACAAATTCAATTATTAAATAAATATTTAAATTAATTCTGCCATATAAAGGTAGGTAACAAATTTAAACACTTCAGGTCTTTCAGGGGGGGGGGTCATGGGCCCCATGCCCCCCTGGATCTGCCACTGTACATACATGCACCCACACATCCATTTTTGTGTATTAATATTTCATTGGTATTTCAATAGTAACTAATATTTGTATGTTGCATGGAAATCATAAATGAAAATAACTCTTCTTTAAGGAAATCTCTAATGATTGAGTTATAATCTTCAAGAGGCAGTGTCTATACATTAGATGGCTTTAACACTGAACACAACAGCACCTATGCACAAAGATGAGAGACAAAACTCAACTAGGCATATTAACAGCAGCTTGGCATATTCTAATGAGTGGCATCAGTGAGGTTCCTTAAGAATTGAGGCAAAAATCACTAATACAAAAATTGTAAGAAAGACAAACTTAAAAAAAATACTGACATAAGTAATACCACATAAAAACCAATGCAATATTTTAAATGGATTTAATATCCAAACATGCATCCAAAGAAACAAGCTAAGTGAGTCAATGTTCCTTAACACTGTAATGCAAGCAATCTGATTTTAAATAACTACTGTACAAATAAAACTCAAAATAAAAAATTGAAAATTAAATTAATTTCCTTGCTTCTTTGTTTTCAAATGACACAACTGAACTTCTCAAATCAAAAGAGTGTGAACAAAACATCAGATTTGGTATTTCTGCACAAATTGGAAGAAACGCTTCACATAGCCACAGCCACTTGCAAGGCATGCCAAGAATGACATCATAAGAGTGAAGCTCAAGACCTTTTTCCACATAGCATGAAAAGAGCTGTTCACACAATAGAATCAGATCAAATATGTTCGTATAATACCATGAATAGTATTCAATAACAAATCTAGTGCTTACTAGAGAGTAGCTAAATCTTTGTTCATCTCCAATCATAAGTTAAATCTATTGCCCCTGAAAGAGTTAATGAAATAAATCAAATAATGTAAATGAACATTAAAGGAAGTGTTTCCTATTAAGTTCATCCTCTAAATATGAATATAATCAATTTAATGATGTTCATCACCTATTTCCAGGTATTTCTTACAGAAGATAATATTAATTGATTAAGTGAATCGCACTTATATGTTACAAATCTTCATTAGCAAAACCTATTTAATGAAAGGAGGTGCCAAAAGGGTGCAAATATTTTCACTAGAAATGCTTTTGCAATCTCAGCTAAATCAACAATACCTTTCAGAAATGCAAAAACTTGCTTATACATTTTGTTTAGGATGTTTGTAACTCTTGAGTGTATAACATTTACTACAAAAGGCATCTGAGCTAAGGAACATTGAAGGTGACCGTTTCATCATTAGAACAGTATGTGCAAATGATTTAAATCAACCAATTAAATGTGTCAAATCAATTTTAGAACTATTCCATCATGAGACTCCATATATTTACCACGAAGGGTTGAAATACAATACCTTATTCACAAATGTGTAACTATGGAAAATAGGCAGAGAAATTGTACGTTCATCTCCTGTCAAATCAATTATTGGACAAAACGTTTGTTGAAATTTCACACAGATTGTTTGGCAAAAACCCTGCTAGCATCAGAATTTGTTCAAAGAAATGAATTTTCCAGCTGATATTTAGCTAATAAAGTTTAGCTTACCTTCCACGTGGAGTTTAACACGCACGAACCGGATTCCATCTCCAGATCGCACTTGACAATTGGCTCCAATACTTATTTTTATTCTTCCACACATCAAATAAAATGTTTTTATAAAATGGAATTACAAGACAATAAATCAAATAACATAAAAACAGCTCCGATAAGTGACGAAACTTTCCAACCATTCTCCCTACTTCGTACGGCACGGAGCCCGCTCGGTACGCTTGCACCATGACGTCAAAGACAATCAAATTACGCGCCACAAGATGACACTGTGCTACCCGACGCTCATCTGTTTAAGAAATAAAAGCCTGCACGACGCCTTCTTGTGGCAGTTTAAAATGGATCCATATCTGATCACATTCCCACTATAAGTCTTTTTAGTTTTCATTTTTACTATATATAAAAATCAGATTCAATGTTCGTGTCGCTGATAGTTGGTTGAATTTCGGCATTCAATCGTAGGACGCATTTCGAAGAAAATTGTTGACTTCTGCCCAAAATAACTTAGTATTTTAAGTTAATCGTAAGTTCAGATTTCAATACTCATTCTCAATTGATAATTTCCCAAGTTGTTAACTAAAATCTATTTTTTTTTCCCGCTAAAACAACAAAATTCGCGAAATCTGGTGAAGAATACATTAAAACGCCAAATGTCAGATTGTTGCCCTAAGCATAGCAATACATAAATAAGTAAACCCAAGAAAAATTGCACACACTTTCTCCAACTAGTACTTAAGTTTCCTCAACTCTTTAGTGTGGACCTGGCTTTTACTCTGGAGTCTGACGATATACCTTCTCAGTGTTGTCCTTCCCTCTTCCCAGCTATCATCTATTGGCGTCTAAAATACATTTTTTCACATTTTGAAGGCATTTTTGAGAAAATGTCCTTTGAGCATTCCCGAAAATGCACAATTTTGAAAATGAGCTCAAAATTTCACAGTTTCAGAAACACTTACACATTTATTTTTTAAACTTTTTATACAGATAGTGCTACATGCACAGAACAATATGACATGGTCATTTCAATTTATTCTTTTGATTTTCTTGAAATTACACAAATGTAGTTGGTTTTTTTTTTTTTTTTTTTTTTTTTTTTTTTTTTTTTTTTTTTTTTTTAATACATCTCATCATTAATATTTTCATTATGTATGTTTTTATACCTTATTGCATTTGTGAGTAGAAATGCTTTAAATAATTTTTGGTGAAATTTCTTGAAAACTCAAAAGTTTTTTGTGAAAAAGATCAAAATCACACATTATCAGACGCACTCAAATAATATTTTCCCCAAAAATGTCTCCTACTTTCTCAATGAAAATTTGCTTTCAGGACCAGGTTTTACTCATCTGCAATATTCTTGAAGTCATGTATCTGTTCTACACGTAGGGTGCCGAAAAATTGAGAAAATGTGAAAAAATGTCCTTTTTTCAGCAATAGAAGGCAGCTGGGAAAGAGGAAGGGCAAACCCAAAAAAAGCTAGCCCAGACTAAAGTGAACTAGCACAAGAAAGTCTGTGCCATCCTGTAACACTACTAGTTCTTTCTAATTCATGCATTTTCTAAAGTGAAAATGCTTCATATTTTTCCTCCATTGCCATGCGCAAAAACAAAAGATCTAGAAACAGAATTAGATTGTTTGATATTTCTAAGCACACCAACTACTATGATCATTAGTTCCAATTGGGCAATGAATGTTTTATCCTAGGAAGATGCAGATTCCTTCCCCACTGGCTGGTGAGAACCGGTGTCAACCTACAGGGTGAGATTCTGCAGGCAAGATATTCCCAGAGGGCACAGCCTCGTGCAGGACAAGCTCTAAGACCTGACATATAGTGTGTGTATTATAAGTGTGTAAGGGGATAGGATAAGAAAATGGAAGGAAAGAAACACACATAGTTCATGGTCCCATTTGGTATGCTCAGACATTTGCTTGGAATTAGTAATTGGAGAAACTGCAGATAACCAATCAGAGCAGTCAGCCGCTAGAATTCTCCTCCATTGAGCAGCTGAATTCAACCTAGATATACAGCTAGTGTTGAAAATCCATCACTGTCAGGGCTCTTTATCCTAAGACCTCCTGGTCAGAATCACTACAAAGACAGAGGCAATGCTGGCTCTGAGCTAAACTTAGCTGTTACTAATAATTGAAACTGATAGATGGAAAAAAAAAAAAAGGGGGGGGGGTTATCCGCAAGGTTCATGAATTAAGTTACTTCACCAGTCAACATAGCACGTTCATCACAGAAAGTACTAAGAAGGAAATATCTGAACACATAACGTTTATGTTCACTGCACCCTTTCCAAGACAGACAATATATTATCACTCTTATTATTTTCTTTCAAAAGACAGTCTAATTTCTAGTCCTGGAAAGAAAATATTTTTAAAATTGGGAGTATTATTTTTCAATCGACACCAAAATTCAGTAACAAAATCTAAGAAAACGTACAAACACAAAAATGTAAGCAAAGTCTAATAAGGACATTTCTTTAGAATTTTTCATTTGTGTCATAAATTCCAAGATAATGTTGTCAATGATCCTAATATCAAAGTTCCACTGAATTATTAAAGTTTACACCAGAAAAAGATGAAATAAATAGATAAAGAAATTAGGAAAGTAATTTATATATTTGAAAAGTTCTTCCTCAGGCTTTCTACAATTCATAACTTTTACAAATGCATTTTGTTCTTGACAAAGTCATCTTACCATACATTAAATGTAATAAAGAACCAGTTTCCAAGTGAAAAACTTGCCTAAAAGAAGCTCTTACATCTCACAAGCAACTGAAGTATTCAAGGTCTGCTATTAAAAAAAAGAAATCAAAATTTTTAGGAAATACTTTTTTATTATGTACACAACAAGCTGATGTATTCAACCTGCATCATACAACACACATTGAAAGAGTTACTCAATGATATAAGAACAGAAAAGCGCATGAACACAAATAAGAAAAGAAACCATGTTTCAAACAGCGTTCTTCTTCATACAATCATCTCCAACTCACGAGCGTATTCAAGAGCCTGTTCAGCAAGCTCTGTGGAAGGCAGGGGATCATCCACCTTCTTTTCCTCCGTACCAAAATGGTAGAAGTTGTCACGCCCCAACACCCAATTTTTCTGCAAGACAATTCTTCTTTTGGTAAATAATTCATGACATACACACATTCTCTAAAATGTTCATTAACTACATTTTTTTTAATTGTCAGATAAGAATAACGCACAGCAATTTCACTTTTTTGTTTGTGTATCAAAATAACTGGAGATTTTACATCTCTATATTTATATAAAAAATAAAAAAAAAGTTTTATTAAAACCATGAAAAACTTTAATTTTTTCATCCCAACATCGAATTCTTTTGTAAAACAATCAATACTTCTTTCAATAAATAGTTTATGATACAAGCATTAATTACATTTTTTACATAATAATAATTAATGACTCGAGCATATGCTCTAAAAGGTACATGAAGTACATTTTAGAGATGAAACACATTTTAATATAAATTACAAATACAGCAAAACCCTGCTTTTACATTCCCGCAATTAACATTTTCCCGGCCCTTAAAACAATTCTTGTTTTTCCCATTAGTTTTCAAATATTCATGCTATAAATACTCCACGTTTACATTGGCATGATTTCAGATTTTCCGCTATTTACAACAGTCTGTTTGTCACAACACTGTCTGGAAACCAATTCGCGTCACGCACAAAGTGCTGTTTCCCACTTTAAAAATGGCCATAACAGAAAGACTACTGAAATGGTGTGAAATTATAAAGAGTTTTATGAAATGTTACTTAAAGACTAGAAGATTTAAATACAGTGAAAATTATTATTGTGGAGCAATGCTCCTCTACAAATTTTCATTTCATGACATTTCCGAGATATTCAAAAAGGTAGAAAAAATGACCAACATGCGTTACTAAACGTGTAGAAGAGAGGTAGCCTCACGATCATTTATTTTACATCATTCTCCTAAGCAATTTCACACTTTCTCATCCTAAAGTAAGCATAATTTTTTCCATTCTTTAATAGTTCAATCAAGATATGTGATTCATTTTGGGAAAAAAGCTTAGTTAATTCTGAAGTCAAAAAAAAATTATAAAAATATCGGAAATGATTACATTCACTTCTTTGATGTGAATACACTTGCAGTTTTAGGTGCCACAAATTTGTATTTGACCTTGTAATATTGTTCATTATGTATCTAATCAAATATATTCAAATTCTTATAGTTTGTGTGCATCTAAATACATTATACTCATAATTTTGAAGAAAAATAAAATCCCCTCATTTATACTTCCCACAATTTACACCATTTTCCATACGATCCCCTGAAAAGTGTGAAGAAGGTGTTCTACTGAACATATAAAAATTTTCAGAGTAATTATCCCGGGCGACTTGCCAGTCGTCAGTAAGCTGCCTGCCCCAGATCCAGTCGATTAAACGTTTGGCTCTTTAATGCCAACTGGACCACATCCTACCAGCCCAAAAACTTTCTCTAATTTTACAGAACACATGACAGTCATACAAGTTTACTGCAGTCACAGCCAGAACTAAAACTGAAAGTGGAACTGACAATCTGCAAACAATATTTGCTGAGCAGCTGAGTATCAAATTTGGGGAAGTATCAATATTTTACAAATTGGTAACAGCATATATGCCTTAACTGGGAATTCAATATACAGGAGTCTACTGTAGTTAGCAAAATTTGAAATGATAGTTACCTTTCTCCCATATTCTGTAATGGCAGCTTGATTTTGGAAGTTGAGCATTCGAGCTGCTTCATTTAGAGAGATCTTCTCATAGGCCTTCTCCATGCATGCCGCAATCTCACTGCGAATTGTATCGAGGAGAATGTCAATGAAGAAATTGTAGCTTTCTGCAGGAACATTTCCCTTCGCCAAGAAGATCTGAAAAGTAAAATCATGATTTTGAAACGTGGAAGGGGAGAAAACAAAAAAGAAAAAACAAAGAAGTAGAATTCAATGAACTGATATCATTTTTTTTTATTTCCCCCCTGTTATAAGAACCTGATACATGAAAAGCAGCAGAAAGGGCATAAATTATTTTTTAAACCATGTTGTTTTGACAAACCTTTTAGTAGAATTTAATATTTACTAATCAATAGAAATTTACTTATTTACCTTTCCAAAACAGAAGCGAATAATTTTTTAAAGATTTTATTTATGGTAAATTTTATGAGTTCTTGCTTCTAGAACTTTTCTCTCCAAAATACTTCCAAAACATTTTCTTTTTAAATGATATTACTAAGCTCAAAAAAATAATTTATCATTAAGAAAATATTCACAGTCAATCTCCTGAGCAGTGCAGCTTTTCTTCCTCCAGCAACTGATTATGATTAGGCTGCAGGTTTTGCATATTTACATGATTTCCAGAGCATGTACCATGTTATGTATATGATTATTATTCTACAGATTTTGCCAGCTATGTTCGTATTCAACATATGCCAGCCATATTCATTTAAAGAAGTAAACCTAAGAACATAACTGAAATTCTTCATATTTATGAAAGGCATCTTAGGAATTTGAATTTTTTTTCTACAAAATTAACTACTTGGAAAATGGACTTTGTCTTTATTCCATTTTCCATTATTGTCTTTTATATAGTCATACAAGTCAACCATGAGTCATCATGTCTAAAACCCGTTGACTCTTGACCAACTAAAATTAATTTTAAACTGAACTCTACATAGTTTTTTATATTTGTGAACCCAATTGTAGGTTTGAAAAAGCTGCCTAGTATGAATCAAATGTCATGAAATAAATCATTGGTGACGTCAAACTGTCTATTAAAAAGAAGGTCAATTACTATATCATTATTTACGTCTTCTACTGACATGGCCATTAGCAGCATATTCTTTTACAACTACAGAGTAATGAAAGGTACATCACCTTGTTGTAACTGCCCTCCATGAGGTACTGCTCCAGAGAAAGGGGATGCCGAATGTAGACATTGCTCTGGATCTGGTCCGAAGGAAGCAATTCCAGTTCTGTGTGGAACTCTGCTACTCTGTTCTGAGACAACAGGAACAGAAGGTTGAGTCCCAGCAGTTGATACTTGTAGGTTGATTCCGGGAGCTGCTCCCTGCAAACATCACCATTCACAATTCTATTAACACATTTCGCCAATTCATGAAAACTATTGAATGTGAAAAAAAGTGAATTTCCATTTTCAATATCTATCAACTGCTTTAGAAATGAAGATTGTGGAGGTGAAGTGTACAATTTCACCTCAATTTCACCCCAATGCCCAGTGTCCTGACTTGAGAGATCAATGACAACTACCTCAGTTAATTACAACTTCAATAGTTTATACATGTTTGGGAATGAGGCCACCTTTCGAATCCCTGAGAAGAATTTTATTCATTTAAGGATGCTCATTTCTCCTGTATTTTAAATGCTGAATCGCAATTTTTTGTTTCACACTGATATTTATGGGTGATAAACAGTTTGGTTTTTAATTTTTTGTAATACCTTTAATTATTTCAGAGAGCAAATTTTTAAGGTATGACTTGAGACCATGCATACCTCACAGTGCGGTCGGAGACAATATTACATAAACATAGATGGTCGTGTAATTGAATGAAGCCATGGTAAGAAATTGTCTGGGTAATAGACTATAAAAGGATATTATTAAATGAGAAAAGTATTTATTAAAGAAAATATAAAGACAATAAATAAAACAACAGTGTTAACAAGAGACAATAATGACTAACCAATCACAATTTAGTTTTAAGTGATGTAAGAAAAATTAACCTATAGTGGTGTTTAAAATAGGATGTACAAAAACAAGTTTTGTCATAACAATTATTACAAGTTTAAAAAATAGACATTTTAAAACTTTTAAAGATAAGTTCCCCATGAACTGAGTGAATGAGATTATTAGATATGTTTTATTTATTAATTGTGGGTTTGTGTATGTTAATGGTAGGTAAGGTTATGTGTAGTTTTGTGTATGGTTAATTTCTTCATTGATTTGTCAGATTTGAACTTTTTTTCCATAGCTTGAAATTTCAAAACATTGATTCATAGTACCACAAAACATTTCAGTCAGTAGATGATTTTACATTTTTGTTATTCACATTCATTTCAAAATCTCTTTTATGTGAACTACTGTTAAAATATGATGTGAAGAGTTTTCTTTGGCATTTTGAAAGGAATTCAATTTTAATGAATTTAACTTTTAATTAGTTTTCTATGCAGAACTGAAATGACCATCATATTTTTGTATGTGGGAGTAATGGTATTTGTTTCCCATTGACCTTTTTTTTTTATTACAAACTCGAGTCCCTGAACTATGAATATTAACTCATTTTATTACAAATTTCCACATAAAATCCTCAATAAAAAAAATCGTATTTATAATTATTCAATTCAACTAGTATAGAAGTAAGGCAGATATGCAAGATATAAGTTCAAAGAATACACATAAGCATTACACAATTTTTGATGGATAGCCGTTGTGCCACTTTTACACCTCATAACAATTTCTTAAATACTACACTTAACTCCATTTATAAATTTTCCACGTATATGTTTTGAAGTTTATATGTTGTTTTTGCGAATCCCAGATAAATTCCTATACTTCCCAAACTAAATTATTTCAGATGCAGTGTCTTACGTTTATACGTTTTTTGTGTTTATACGTTCGTTAACGAAAGACCCTCGAAGACCATATAATGACCAAATGATAAGAACATAGGTGACCAACAAGTGAGAACGTTTATGTTATCATAGAGGAGCCCACGGAATTTTTGTGATGAATTAAGTATTCAGGTTGTTTAATGTCATTGCTACACAAGGCATTTTAACTGGTTTTAACCCTTCATTTTGGACAAAATTACAGTATTAAAAAATAGTTGTCCAGTGCGGCTTTGTATAACGTTCCCTAACACTGTACGTTACACTGTTTGGCGCATTTAAAGGAAGTATTGAAATTCCAGAATATCAAAGATAATGACATTTAGGTCTCAGTTGCAAGAGCTCACTGGTTATGATTGTGGTAAGTACAGTGTTTATATTTTCTTTCGTAGCAAGCTGCAGCTCTTGCTACCAACATAATTTCTGTCACAGTTTCACTATCATCATAGTGCCACTGCAGAGAGACTTTCCTGTTGTGCTGCAGATGAAGTTACAGGCAAAATAACTGATCCAACTGAGGTGAAAGATGTGCTCACAATATTAGACATACATTACAGTACATTTAAAAATGTGAGATTCTGCCCAAGATCGGTAAACTACAAAGCATTTTTTAACGTTTTTACAAACCAGGATCAACTAAGACTTTTCTGCCAATTCAGAGCAACTAGAGAGGAGTGAATCGTTGACTGCCCTTTGAAAAACCTCAAACAAATGAAAAAATGTATGGATATTATGACTATAAATATGACAAGGACAGAGAAATACTCATTAGAAGAGGAACAATCCTCACAAAACGAGATGAACCATGGAGATCGAGACCTAGTTTCTGCTAAGCCAATCTTAAAATTTGAAAGTGTACACACCAATATGGGAGGAGTTGGCCATTAGGAATGGTTAGCACAACATTATGAGAATGATCAATTTTTAAAATAATAATAAATATAAAAGAGATCAATGACTAGAGAATTTTTATGAATGTTTGCAAGAACAAAACGTCTGCTATAACGTCTGCTGCTTAACTTTCTGTGTAATCTCATTACAAATAATTACTGGCAGATATGAGGTGTCTCTCAATCTAACTTCTTTTTCTAACTTTATTCTAGGCAATTATGAGCATTTATTCAATTACCACAATGCATATCATTACAGAGGAATACTTGTGTTTTAAATTACATTTTTTATTTCATAATAGATTTTTTTTTTTATTTTAAAAATATTATAAAGGATGTGTAAACTGTCAATGCTTCAGAACCCCTTAAATACTTTCTGAACCTGCCCCTGATAAATACACAACTTGAAACTTCATATTGATAACCCAAATCTGCTTGAATGGGCAACGCCATATACCAAAATACTAAAAAACAGGTAACTTGTGTGTTAGAAGGTTGCTTCAGGAAGTCTCGAGTATTCACTAAGAAGCATTTTGAATACTTCTAATTACACAATTTAAAAATTTAGAAAAGGCAAATTTAAAAGGTCTTTCATTTGCATAATCACTGTGCATTCTATATTTAACAACTAACAGCCAGCGTCCTCATAAGAGGATGGAGAATATTTTATTAACAATAATACCATATACACTGAAATCATCCCGCATATTTTTTTAAAAAATTGGAAGCTGAAAATTAAGGTGTGGATATTATTTGCGACAAGGTTGGTATTATACACGCATACTTCTTGAGCCCCAGAATACCTACTCGCACTCCCTTCTTAACATTAGTTGAATTAAGAATAAATTAAAGCAACGAGCGTTGTTGACAAAATCTGAACCAGAAATGTTTGCTTCCACATAACTAGAAATGTTCACTTTCTTGTAGAAACTACTCTGTGTTGAAAAATGAGCTACATGTCGATATAAAAGACCTGTCGGCGAAATACCTCCCCCCCCCCTCTCTCTCTGCCATCTAGAGAAATGCAAGCCCAAAAACATGCTTGAATACTGCGAACTTGAAGCTTGATCTTTCAGCATGAAAGAAGTATTAAGCATGATAGAAGAAGCAGAACAAATTGGTAACTGCAAGCAGGAAGGGAGTATGATGTGGACGAAATGTGCATTTGCGATTGACGTAAGAACAAAATGACACTTCCAACTAAGGTTAATTGGCCCGCAGAAAACAAACCAAGTTATTTTTTGTTTATTGCAGGTGCAGGATTGTGATTCAGCGTTAACAATGTAATAAATTAATAGAACTATTATCTTGCAATAAAATGAAAAGGAGTGTTATCCTGAGATTCATTTCCATAAAAGTAGGGTGCAGGTGTTATTCGCGGGTGGGTATTATTTGAGTATATATGGTATATAATCAGATAAGACCATTGTATTGTGTTTGAGAGTAATTTTAAACAGCTACCTTAATTTAGATTTCAGTTTTTAGAAGAAGAAAAAATTGGGCATTAATGCATTAAACTCTCTAATGTCTTGTACTTAAAGAAATCTGATTCAATACTTTGTAACAGCTATTTTTGTAAATGTAAACGTATCCACCACTATCTTCATTTCTAAAAGAGTTGAAAAGTATGGAAATTGAATAATGAGTTTTTCACATTCAATAGTTAGCATTTGTATTAAAGATTTGTATCACACATGGAAAAATTATTGCTATTACTACCAATATCCATTTTTAATGTCTAAAAACATCTATCATAAAGAGATTTCTTCCTCAATATGTTCTTAAAATATCAACAAAACTTCCAATAAAGCCTTTTTTTATCTACTTCTAGTATCTGCAAATGAGTACAAATCATATTCTTTAACATTATAATTTAAAAAAGTGTTGTTATTTATTTTGTATCCCACTTTTCTGTATCTATTTCACAAGTAAAGTACATTTTAACACTCTAAATTATCGTTTGTTCAGATAAAATATGCACAGAGTTATGTAATGACATGCTAGAATAAACTGCACTTGCTTTCGCTAACAATAAAATAATTAACATAGTTTAAATCTATGATCTATTAAGGAAGTTTGAAAACAAAACACGATTCTCCAACGACAATACACTATAGTATGATTCATTCATGTACATGTTAGTTTATTAATACAAGGTACGTTAATTACTTTACTGATTGTGAACACAAAGTACCCAATCTCGAACATAAAATTTAAATAAAATATTGTGGATGTCGGTTAAGTTTGATCCAGTAAGCAACATTCTAAGAATTTGCAAACAGCATTTTATTTTACACTTCCATTTCCACTGGCACAACTTAATAAACATTTTAAAAAACGTACTAGCAGATTGATTACTTACATATGCATTGTTTAGAATGTATACATTAATTTTAAAAATAGCAAGAAGTTATGAAGTACATTCAGTCTTTTTGTAAAACACATTATTACAACACCTGGAACCGATAGAAATGCACGCATCTGGAACACAATACAAGTGACAAAACAATTTCATACCTGTAATCCAAATAATAGCACTTCAGCTGAGCCATATATCTCTCAAATGAAGGGATATCTTTCACTGCTATGCTGTGCTGAGCACCTATCTCCAGGATATCCCCTGCACACAAAAAGAATTCATTGATTACAAACACTATTCACAATCACACTTTAATCCTCATTCAGGCAACCTGCCAGTTGGACACTCCAGAGGGCAGTGTCATATACTATAAACTAAAATATTTGTATCCACTTTGGTTACCTGAAATCAAATTTTATAAAAATGTGATTAGTTTGTTACATTTTTCCTAACAACATTCTAAACCATTAACTCGCGGGGAAGTAATCCTCCATTAAGCTAGTCAGTCATTGTCTTTTATCCCTTTGGCCAGGGACTCAGTGTTGTTAGATCTCCGGATTCCCATATGGTCACTAATCCACAATCCCGTAGTTTAACTTCCATGACTTCACTTTAAGGTGAGATTAGGACACTATCCCATCAACGTTACAACAAGCAACTTTGTACCCCATTTTCTCAGGAACTACTGAATAAATTTTAATGAACTTTGCACTACGTAAGTAATACATGAAGAGAATACTGATCCTCAATTAAGTTTTTATCTCTATTTTGAAAAGATTTGTAATTCTTTTTCCAAGAAAGAATTTTTTTCTAAAATAATTGTGCAAAAGAATTGCTAACGCAACTAGAGAAGTAATACTCATGATTGAGTACCAGGTCCTTAGTATAACGTGGTTTATTGAACGTATAACTTAGTATAACGTGGTTAACTGAAAATTTCATGCAAATCTCTTAATTAGTTTCTGAAATAATGGGGCAAATGTTTGAAAATTTTAACTTCTGAGAAAATGGCACTCAAAGTTTTCAGAATAGCAAATGTTAGGAAAACTTAGTTTTTTTTCACTAGAGAGTAATTAAAGGCAATCTACATTTTAATAACAGGTTTCACTATCTTTTAAACCAGTCTGAGTTTTCCTTTTCTTCTTTCTTGCCTCCTTTGTCATTCGCGAATCATCACATTCTGCCTTGCTATACCTAATCTGTCAAGTTCTCAACAAATATCAACATTGTTTTTCCCAGGTGACATATGCAATTATTTCAGCACTTCTCATCTAGCACAATTTTCATCATTCTATATTGCAACATCTTCCTATACTCCTAATTGTAAAGTTTTGAGAACAACAAAAATATTTTTTGTTATTCTTGTACAAATGGTGTTTTTGAATGCCTCATATTTTGTATTTTGCCATGGCAACTTCTTCTGAGAAGTTATGTCTTCTCTTAGTATTCACATAATTCTCAGTGTTTGTATTTACTACGTTTCTTCCTTTTCGATGCTTTAGGAGAATTTTCACATGTATTCAGACTCCTTATCATCAGTTTCTCGATGCAAAGGATTTGATTTCATATGCTGATTGTCTTTGAAAACACGTCTTTTAAGGATTCATCACATTTTGCTATTATAGAACATATAAAATTATTTCTTTTAGTTTGGTAGCCTATAAGACACCGAAATTGATAACAAATTATAGATTGAATATGTCAATAAATCTGACCTAGAAATGTTCATAAAATATTATTTAATTATGGAGGGGGAAAAAAAAATTCCTTTTTCAAAAAAAATTCAGCCTAACGTCTCACCTTAAACAATTCGGCTACCAATGTCTATGTTACCAACAACTATTGCAAACAGATTCTGGGTCAACAACCTCTATCTTCATTTTTTTTCTTCCTCTCTCAGCAAAATGCTGAGAATGTCCCCGCTTTGCTTCTAAGCACTGAATGTAATTTTCCTCTCTAAATGTCACATACAACTATTAGTTATTTTTTGAAAAAAATAAATTTATCTGCTCAATGAAAATTCAATGGTAACTGACAGTTTTGAACCTCAATAACTTCTATCTGTAAGAAGTAAAGACTACTACCTTCATGGATGAAGGGAAATAATGTTGCTCATAATTAATACCTCCAACTTCAAAGATTAAAAAAAATTTGCACAATGTACGCATCTTCAAAAAGTCTCTAAAAACCAAAATTTTTTCGTCCTGAATAATCCACGAGACATCGCAGAACACACTGAAGTTCATGTATGTTTGTTCATTGTACATGAACAAAGAACAAAAGGAAACTTTTCTCTATGACACTTAACCTCACATTTTGGCTGTTTCTTTATCTTCGCCCTCTGATGTACTATAAAATCCTAATGAGTTTAACCTACATTAATACGAAAATTTTCAATAAATACATGTAAAAAATCATCCACATAACAAGACAATAATACGATTCCAGGAACTTTTTGCCCTGGATGAGTCTGCATTTTAAAGAACCTTAAAAACTTACTTGCAACTAAAAGTTCCTGCTGTGGAGCTGATACGTTGGATGTAGGAAGGAACATCAAATGGGTCAGGCCCACCTGAAATAAGACACTAAGTGAAAATACAACTATGAAGAAACTTTACAGAAAAGTGAAAACCACATCAATTTTAAACGCGAAAAACACAAATTTACCATTTCAGAATAGGCTTTTGTCTGTAATGGAAGAAACCTACATTAAGATTACACAGAAATGAAAATAACTATCACAAACATCAATAAAGAGCCCCTTCCTAACCTGTACAACCCCACAGCTTCCGAAGTAATCCACTTCCAAAACAATTGTTTTATCAATTACAATTTACATACCTTTAATTTCGCCAATAACACTCCACATTTTTCAACATTGGGAGGCTTTTTAGTCCATTCTACCTTCAACGTCTGATACAATGACACAACGTCTTTAAGAGCAGCCATGTTCGTAGCTTGTGCTTTCTCTATGACATGAAATGATTTCGAGGGTATTTCGATTGTACTCGTGTCCGTGGCTGCCACTGGACATTTATCAAGAAGAATGGACTGTGACCTCTTTGGAACATCTTTCTTTCCTTTGACGGGAGGACCTTCCTTAGGAGTAGATTTGTCGGGCAATGTTCCTAATTTTCCTCCTTGACTAGTACCAACGGTTCCATCCGTGGTTGTTGCTGTGTGCAACAGAGACCCTTTTCGTCCACGAAGCTTGTCGGATGAACTCATGGTGTCCTCTTCTAAACTCGAAACTTCCTGTAAAAGAAATCACGAAGGAACACGATTTTGTACTCCACCTCAAACTAAAACACAAACTAAAAAATAGGGGGCGTTGATACCTTGCAATTGTTGTCGACTTCCTCAAAGTCACTGCCACTCGCAAAACCGTCACCTTCTGAAGAAACAATTGTATGTGTAGTGTGATGGCTGAGATGCGTTTCGTTACGATGAAAGAAATACGCGATGATTTCCCACAAATAATAAATTATTGTGCTGACCACAATACCCATACCCAGGTGCCATGCTCAAAAATGCAATTTTCGAATAATTTTCCACATTTTCAATTTTGATACAGTCAGTATTATTGATAAGTTAGAACTGGATTGGATCATTTAAATATGAAATAACTGAATATCTACATAATCATTTTCTTCCGCACCAACTTATAATAATGGGAAAATGCCAGAACGTGTAACTAAATTATTACTTATTGTTAAAAAATATTGTATAATATTTTAATGCTCCCTAAATGATCCTATAAAAGTTTAAATGATATGCTTTCATCATGAGAAAGCTCAACAATGCATTTTCAAATTTTAACTATTCAAGAAAAAAACTTTTAAAGTAATTTAAAATGTTATATACCTCTTTTTACATTTAAAAGATGTCTAAAATTATAAAAATCCCAGTCGAAATAAAAGGGAACAACTCAAGTACAAAATCAATCAATGGTGTTCTGATAAAGGAAGATATATTACCCACATGTTACTTTCTTGCATTCTTTTTATGTAGTTGAGTCAAAGTATTGCACAGCCACGAAAAACGGATTTTTCAACAGAATAATTCGTATTGTGAGACTCCGATACCAAAAACGTAGATAATTATTGTTCCTATAAAGTAAATTACTTTATCTAACATGCTGTGTACTCAGAATCCACATTTTATGGGTCTTTGGCACCGAAAAATTGTTTGAAGACTGTCAGCACGTCCATCTATGTACGTGGTCAACGCTAACACCTTAAACTTTTCTCCATAACTCATATTCCCCAATTGATCTGGCCAAACCCAAGGAGTCAATGCCCTACAAATTTGAAACGGATATTTTGGTTTGGGTGTTGTTTCCAGGAAGCCTGGATATTTTCAATTTTTTTCTCTTCATAAATTGCTCCATTTTTTAATTAAATGTTTTCTTCTAATCCAGCAAATGACGTTTAAAAAATGGCACAGGACGCATATATTTCAAAAATTGCATAAGTTCAATAATTTTTCGGCGTCTTCCAACAATTATTGTTGTATTGAAGATAGCGAGTTTTTCTTAATGAAATAAGTTATTCAAATTAACTTTTTAAATAAGGGCATGCACAATTTTTAGGAAACATGGGTTTTCGTGTAATTTTGAGTCGAATGTAGATAATTAAAAAATATTTTCTCAAAAATAGTTTCAATTTCAGTTTCAGTTTTAGTTTCAACTGCTAAGGTAAATAATTCCGTCAGTGTAGTGCTGGTCGGTGAGATCCGGCGCCCCCATTAGCAGGGCACAGCTATAGCTGGGACTTCCTATTTGAATAAATCACGAATATACATATTAAACAGCTTTCTGACAGCTTCTATACGTTTGATCTTTTCATCTAAGGTTGGAGTTTTATGTTTTATTCGAACCAATGTTTAGCTGGATGAGATACTCATAAACACATACGCTACCTTACTACCTAGTGGCTGCCGTCGGACTGTTTGCTGACTCTTTCAACGCAAAATGCGCCAAAGTCCAGTGTGTCATGTTCTTCTGATACCATCGCATGGCCTTGAACAATACGTCTCTGGCCGAGATGTTACGATTTTAAACGCAAGGAACGCAGTCGTGTGAATGTAAGCCAAGCATATACACCTTCCCATGCTCAGAGACCCGGGAGAGAGGGAGTTCCCGTACGGTATATGCCTTCAAAAGCGACCCCATGGTCTCGCTGATGGCTGAAGCCCCTCTCCTTCACTGCCACGACTAAACCGCGTGTCACAGACAGGAATGGTTCCAGTCGATCTTTTTGGAGGGGGGCATCATAGATTTTTGTTAAATAATAAACATTTGTTACTACATTGTATATTACTTTTATAGTGTATATACGAGGCAATACAATATTATTTTTAAATAATTACATAATTCTAATATAAATAAATATTTAAATCAATCGCATGAATGTTGCCAATAAAAGAAGGTAAAAACGAAAGCTCTAGACCTTTTTTTGGGCGGGGGGGAGAGCATGCCCCCCTGGATCCGTCCATGGTCACAGGGACAGATATTGTAAATCAGACTTCCAGATGCGTTCATTCCATTAAGAATATATGGTTATGACAGATTCCGGTTTATATCGCGTTTCTCTGCCAATTGCTATAAATTTACTGGGATTCCGTTGTATGAAGTTTTTTTTGTTTTTCCTTAAGTTTCCTGTAAGATACAAAATTAGCTTTAAAAGCCATTTCATTTCCGCGTTGGACAGTTTCCGTTTTATTCTGTGTAAAATGCCATTTAAGTTTTCAGGCCAGAGAAATTTTCCGGTTAAGGTAGGTTTCCGACTTGTATATGTTCCAGTTTAGACATATTTTCCTCTAATTGATAATAGAAATGCCACGACACGGCAATTTGAATATAATTCATTCTAATTGTTGGGCGGTGTTTCTTGGAATATGGAAAGTAGTTTTGGATTGACGAATTTGTGTTGATGTATTAGCTTTAAAAGTTCTCACTTCAAGCGTTGCGATTGGCAAGTTTTACAAGTGATGACCGAAAAGTGTAACTATGAACAGAAATTGCGGTATTAAATTACGTGACCGGTACTAATGCGAGAAAGTATTTGCTATTGTAACACTAGTTTAGATTCTCGCATTTTACTCACGCAGTATTTTAAAGCGTTGCAATGCTGCAGCAAAATACAACAATCATTCGACAGGAAAACTCGTATTAATTAGGTTCTGGTATGTAAAAAGTGGACAATTCTTTTTACTTCATGTAGCAAGTTATTATACTCCCGAGGTGGCTAGAGAATGTTCCAGCTAGTTCTTCGGTTCGAAGGGTCGCGGTTTCGAGTCCCACCGTGGACATGGTTGTTTGTCCTTTGACTTTCATGTATGTGTGTTGTCGCGGAAAACCCTGCCGCCACAGCCCAAAGAACCCGCATGTGTGTCTAATGTTAATTAATATTTTATGAATATGTGTTCCCATTGGGGAAATGGTGTGTACCGGGCGCGGATAGCGGAAATCTGCATCTCCTGAAGCTGGAAAAATGAGGAAGGGGAAACAATATAATACATTAATTATTCTAATTCTAAGGAGCTTGATTGAGAGGGGCCACTAATCTGGTCATGTAGTATAGAGTGATGTAATGCTGCAGATAAATAAATATTTCGAGAAAAAACCTTTTGTAGGTCCTGATACTAATAAAGTGGGTAATTATTTTTTCTATATGTAGTAAATTACATTATCTAATATAATGTGCAATCAGAATCCTTGTGTTGGCATCTTTTATTCTGAAAAATTAGTTTACTCGAAACACGTGTTTTAGTCTCTCTGTGAATAACTCGAGGCTAAACTGTAGGGATTTTTGAAGAAAATCAACATTCTCTAATCAATTTGGCTGAGGTCACTGCCCTTTGAATTTGAAATGGATACTTTGATTTTAGGAGTTTTCTTACTTGAAACATAAAGGACATTTTCATTTTTTTTCAAAAATGTTTCTATCTTTTAATTTTTTAAATTTCTTTTCAGATAAAGAAATCTATCTTTATAAAAATGGCACAGGTTTGATTTTTGATTAACTCTCAATTTTCCAAATTTGCAAAAGTAAAAAATGTTTTGGCATCTTCCTACAAGTACAATATAGAAGTTAGATTTTTTATTTCTCACAGACTAAATACACAGCAGAGGTGGCTGGTGATCCAATAAATTGGTGGTTGCAGCTCTATCTAATTGGAACAGGTATCTAATTTCCAAATTCTAGAACACTAATGTATTGTATAATAAAATATAAGAAATTCCTGTACATTGATTAAAACTAAGTTTAATAAAATTCTATATTCAAACATCACTTTCACGGTATTTTGCATGGCGTCACAGACACATAAATTCACTTCCCATGTACTCGCATGGTTTTGGCTTTGATTTCCAGTGGGCACTTACTTCTTGTTTGTATTTGAAAAAACTAAACGCACAGTTTACTACCAGAAGATAAAGTTGCATCACAAATGTCACTTCATGTCTCAATTGGTAGATGGGAAGGGGTCTAACGGTGAAAGACGGATGGACACAGGTCATCATAGGTAAGGATAACTCATTCTATTTGTAGGGGAACAGTACTGCATACATGAACATCATAATGCACATAAAAATAAATTCATTTAAGGATAGAATTACATAATGTAAATTTGTGGAATATAAATACGTATATAATTTGGTACGTAACCCTAACTTTGTTTTACTTTTGTCCTTATTTTGTTTATTTGGCAAAAAAATATTTGATTTAAATCTTTATAATACAATTATGTAATTATTCAAGTAATACAAACATTTTTTTGATGAATTCAGATGTTTCCATAAATTTGTTTACCATGGGTTTTGTGTTGTTGGTTTAGTTCTAGTTCTCTTCGATTAATGTAACATAACTGATCACTAGAGCTGTGATTTATATGCAATAAAAACAGCTAAATATGCACTTAAATATGTAAATATATTTGGTAATAATATTGGTATATATTAAAAAAGGAAAATGTGCAAAATATTGTAATAGAAATGTGTAAGTGTAAAACTAAATAAAAAGTATAACGTGGACATGCTTATAGCAAAAAGATACAGAAATCATATAAATTTGTACAAGCGACAAACATTAAGTCAAAGGCTTAATTTTCAAAAACGCTCATTTCTTAGGAAAGTAATAGAAGAAAGAGTTATTGTACTTTTCACAAAATAAAAAAATATAGGTATTGCAACAAAAATATGCCTTCCTCTCAATTATAATAAAATCTAGAACACAATAATCAAATAACTTTAAACTTGAAAATCATGTCTTAATGAGTTTCACCTGTGAGCCAACAATATTTGGTTAAAAGAGAAACAGTTCATTGAAAAAATGGGATTGATACTGCCGATAACAGGTCTTAGCATGCTTCTCGAGCAACTTCTTACAAGTCAGGCGAGCTGATACATGGCTATGGCAACGTAAACAAAACCTCAGAAGCACATTGCTTTAGAGCTGGTCACATGATGTACCGTAGCAAGTGTCGAGAGAACTATCAGAGCCGCTTAGACGCTGGCGGATCTATATCTTGGGCTTCTTTTCACGGATGAGGGGTGAATATGCAACAAAAATATGCAAATATGGCCCATAAATGCAATTGTGGTGATATATGCAAAATTAAAATTGCTTAAATTGATTCTAAATGCCTCAAAACAAACACAATTTGTTGAAACTGGGTGTTTCAGTATAACAGAAAAAAAAATGCATATATATCACAGCCCTACTGATCACATTTGTTATTCCCTTGTAAAAAACAGAGAAATGTTACAGGAAATGGAAATAGGGAATGCATAAATAAGAAATAAACCAGATTAGAAAACAAGTTATTTATTTAAATTAAAAATTGAACTTCTTCCTCAAATCATTAACGTTTTGAAAGTACTTTACAATTGGCCAAGGCAGCCTTGTTTCCAACTCAATACAATTCATAATTCCAGCAACAGAAATTGGATTCTGGTGTTTCAATGAGGTCACAATTCAACAAGGCACATTTACAAAATTGTGCAAGTGTTTAATTTCTAAAGCGTATCTACAATACAGTACAAGAAATCCAAAACGAATCTTTTATTTTGGAGATCATATACAATTAGAGAACATTTTAGAAATCCAGACTGCTGCAGGATAAACCACACTACACTTCAACTATCAGGGTGTAATCTCTTTGTGCAAAATTATCCTCTCTATTTTGTATCTTAATCTGAGGTTTTTCTCTTTAATCAACATCACTTCAAGATGATAAGATTTATACTTACAAAAAAAAATATGAAAACTTATTTACAATATGTCACATTCCCAAGAAATATTGAGAATAATTGATAATTACATTCTAAGAGACCCTGCAAAGAGTAATTCCAATGACAGAATAACACATACGAATTGGTAAAATAAATACAAAGTCAAGAGATTCTGCTTCAAAGTGGCACAATGTTGTTGAAATAATACTTTACGTCCTGTAGTACAACTGTAGGAACTAGACCAGAAGAGATGATAATCTGGAAAGAGTTCCGATGGTGGGTTGTTGAGACATCAGCAGAGACCGAAGCACAAGGGGACTAGCAGGTTTTCCTGGAACACATTCAAAAACACGGGTTACAAAACGAAACAAGTTCTTGAAAACAAGAGAAAAGATGCACAAAGTGTCTGCTGTTCACTCAACATTCTCAAATTACTTCTGAAAGATGATATTAAATTTTTCATAATGGCATGTGTACTCAGCTTCATCAACTTTCTCCACTCAAATCAATGGATGAAAACCAGGACGATTTTCATGAACAAAAAGTTAGCTTTGACTCAAAAGAAAGGGAAACAAACTTATAAGAGAATATGTGTTTTTCTCTCTCATAGCAACAAAAGTTACACTTTGGCAAGAGTTTTCTTAATATTATCTTCATTAATACGAGGTCAATAATGTAATAACTTGACTCACCCAGAAGACTCTGCAGAAGATGAGGAGGTGGAATGTCATGGTAGATAATATAAGATGTCAGCTTTCTCAGAATATGGACATCAGATGGATACTGGCCCCGTACATACATTCTTAGATAGGGTTCCAATTCTAGAATGAATATTAGCACATTAGAATCATTAACTGAGGTAATTCAACTCTTAAACTTAATTTTCTTTATTATTCTCACGAAGTTAACTGATTACTACAGTACAGTACTCAGTAATTAATTTAATTACTTTAGTTTTTCAGTGGGATCAATTTTCTAAAACACATTATGAATGTATTTATACATATATAACAAAAGCACAATAAAATAAAACTTGAGAGATGTAACACACATATGTGAAAATCTTCTGAAAGACCATGACCTATAGCATTAGAAGATGCTCAAACTCCAGCAATCTCATTCATGTCTGGAAACTAGCAACCCTGGTAGAATTTGAATAATATTAATATTCAATATACAAAATATATTTGTTATAAAACAGTGAATTTTAATTATATTGTGAATAAAAGAAATATAAAAACTTTGACAAAAGGTTAATTCATTATGTTGAAAGTGTGAATTTCGTTTATGTGAAATTTTTGTTATATCAGCATTGTTATTATGACATGGAATTGAAAATTGTGAATTTTTTTCATTAATTCTGAAAAATAGAATACTGTGATTTGATTAATAATAGTTTATGTTAGTTAACAGTACATATTAGTTAACCGTGCACAGACAATGCCTCAGCAGGATGTGAAATTTATGTATTGCATCATTGAATTGTATTTTCATGTACATACAATCTGTATAAATAAATAAATATATAAACTGACATTGCATTCTGAGATCCTGTACTGGTTATGATACCTCCGCAGCAAATTTGATGCCCCTGCTGCATCGCAGATTGGGAGATTCTATGAGTTACAATTGTTGTGGAATTTCGCCACTATCTACATAGATGGGTCAAAATTATCTACCGTTTAGAGGAAAATTCTAATGGGTAGTTGCTCTGTTGGTAGTTCTCCAAGGTGTCTCCAATTAATACCAGGAAAATTCTAGAGCAGTATCCCGACTAACAGGGCATGAATTATGTGTGATCTTTTCTTCCCCATTCCTGTCTTCTCTTCTCCTTCTTACTTCTTCTTGCATGTACTAAACACATGCAGGGAGACACATCAGTAGCTTAAGAGCCGGTCTCAATTGAGGTGGTGCTGGAAAATCTTTTACAGCCCAAAATCTATAACTTGGGACAGCAGGCTTTTCTTGCCCTCCAAAGGAAGGCGTTCAAAGAATTTTTTCACCCTCAAATATTGCTTGGATCAAATTTGAACCTGCAAACTTGGGTACAACAGTCCAATACGCTAACCATTACCTCATTGAAGCCACCAACTCGCCACTTAAATTATCCACACTGAAAACCTGTCGGTTCAACACCCTTCCCTTTAAGCATCATTTTTACGCTCGCTCTCTTTGACCAATAGGCGACTCTCTCACCTGCTTCCCAGGAGAGCAGGATGCTCGACACACGCTGATGCAGCGCGAGGGCCAGCTCAGGGGACACCAGCGGTGCCAAGGTGCTGCTGCCATTCTCTTTGCTTGCAGGCGCCTCCAGGTGAAGCACCTGGGCGGTCACCAGCTTTAGTTGCCACGTCAAAAAGGAGCAAGGCGTTGACGTCAGACTCTGCACGGCCTGACAGACATAAGATACACGCAAAGTGTAAAGACTCTTTGCAGCTGAAACTCTAATTATTATTGTAAAACTGAATTCGCATTTACAATTTTAACTGGCAGAATGTTATTTTTAATCATCCACTTAAGTTTATGTAATAGTATAATCATGAAGTCGTAGGCTTCTGCGGCCTTCGACGCGGCGTCACCCGGACAGACCAGATCACCCATAGTATAATCATGTATCATGTTATTATTTATATCATCTACCATTGTCATTTTTTGTTCATTTAATTTTAATGTTGTGTGACACTCATCTTTTGTTTTTCCAACCCATCCCCACACCACTTCCCATAGCAGCAGAAATCGGCTAGGTTAAAAATCATGGCAAACTAGACCAAACCCCATGGCAGCCTGGCTATCCAGATGGTAGGGTTATAATACAGTTTATAGACAAAACAGAAAATGCATTGCATTGCAAATGAATAAGCAGCCCGCAGATTGCCAAATTTTCAATGGAGAGCTCTCTCCTACCACGATTCCTCATTGCTCGTTTGAGAAGTGCAATTCAAAAGCAGGTATGTGTACCTTTTGTAAGGTGATCCAAACAGGAAGGATGGCCAGCTTGTCCTGGGTTATGCATTCGTAGACAACCCGTGTGAGCGTCTGGACCTGTTCCTTCTCACAGGTGCTCGACGTGTCTCGCTCTTCTCCTTCCGGTTGCTCCAGAAAATGTTTGGCAAAGTTCACCACTGACGGGTCAGAGGAAAAGGCACTAATGGACTCTGCCTGAAAACACACAACAAAGTTGAGGACTTAAAGAAAAATAAAACATTCAAAAGGCGGCCCAAAGGGCCTTCAATTTATTAACTACTGAAACATAAATAATCGTGGATTTTTTGGCATTGAACCTGGCGTCCAAGAAACAAGCCCAAGCATCCCCCTGACTGGCCTTTCTTGGACTCTTCTAGTATTTGTATTTATTGGGTCTATATACTAAATTCATGTTTATTGTCTTCGTAAATAAAATTGAGTTACAGAGTTGTTTGTAGTAAATTGTTTCTTCGTTATATTATTGTATCTGGATCCCAATCTCGTTTTGACAAACAGTACTAATAAAATTATTGAAATGTAACTTGCTTTTTATTCAATAAATTTAAAATATTAAGTCGGAGATATGTACGACCTGTGAGCTATTGGGAGTCTGACAATATTTACCCCCAATTACCCATAATTACAAAAAGGTTGTCGGTTCGCATCCAACTTAATAAAATATGTAGTAAACTTACAAATGTTCATAGTTTTCCCAATATTGGGAGGTAGAGTGTTTGTAGATCCAACAGAATCCCACCACTGTCTAAATGAAACAGTTTGCACCAAGGAAGAACAATTAAAGAGGGTAGGGACCCCCTCAATCACAAGCATACCTTGACAGACCAGGAGATGGCTGGGTCAAGAGTCAGTGTTTCAGCAAGCATGGTGCGATAACCCTGAGGATCCTCTAGGTATGACAGACACCCTGCTCTTTGCTTCACATCCACACAACCAGAAGAGTTAAGCACATTTCTGCAAGATACCGAAACAATATTACTTTTTATTTTTACAAAATACTACAGCAATGAATCTGGTAACCCAACTAATTACATGTATAATTCAATTACAAGACTCTCAAAAGTAGCCAACAAATATTTAAATAAAGAGGTGTATTCTAAAGTGTATATGCCTTTTTGTGACTAAAAACAAAATTTTTTCTTTAACTAGTCATTAAACTATAACTGCAATATTTTCTGCTGACATTATTTATCTGCTTAGAGAATATTGTTTATAAAATGCTGATACTCAACAATTCCATGATTGAAAGTGTGACTTTGAACATTAATACCTGTTGTAATGACTAACAAAATATATCAGACACTGAAATCCCAGGTCAACACAATCAGAGATATGTGAATGATACCAGCTCCCTAAATGATGATGTATTGATAAATGCGTTACCATTTCAAACATGTGGGCACGATCTTCTTCACAATATACATTGTTATTTCAGTATTTCAGACATGAAGACGATCACCTCAAGATGGTCAAAACATCAGTAACATACCCTTCAATGTGGCATCATCGGGAAAGCCACGAGCATTCACAAGAAATCAAATACCTTTAAAATGTAAGTTTTCTTGGATTTGCAAACCAAAAATTTTAAATCGATACATGTGATGCTCTTTCTACTTTCAAGGGAATATTTCAAACTATCAGATAATAAATTTAATTTAGTTGTTTACAGTATATGGAATAATTTGATAATGTTCACAATATTATAGAATAGTGTTCACTAAATTATAGAAAATATTATTTTTCTATACTTTGTTGATATAAAAGTGAAAGTGAAGTTGATGAAAATATAAAAGTTCTGATATTTTAACAAAAGGCAATTTATACATGAAGGATGGTTAACTTACTCCAATTGTGCCCAATTTGAATTCCTATTAAATTCAATTCTCCAATAACGATCATCCTCCACAACAACCTGAAAAAAATAAATATATATTTATCATTAGTCTCACTAGACTATTTTCTCAATGCATTATCTCCATTTTGATACGGAGAATAGACAATGGTTTATAAGAATCCCTGACTCAAAACCCAATAAGTTTGATAATGCTGACTAGAGAAATGTTTCCCCAGTTTTGCAACAAAAGTCTTAAGATTAAAAAAAAATGATGTTTTCAGATTAGGACATAAAATACATTACTCAAACACACATTAAAGTCATAACTCAAAAACAAAGTGTTCTAGACTATTAAAACCAGATTTCTGAGTTTTAAAGGGACAAGGTGGAGCCTGAGGTACATTTGTTAAGCAGAATTTTACAAAATAAGATCATTTTAAATTTTATATTACATTTTTGGAGATTTAATTCCTTTGAGTGCTCCCACTCCCTAGAACGGCTGGTCCAATACGAGCAGAACTAAAATGTACATAAAATTAAATTAAAGGGAAAAGTCAGAAATAAATTTCCCTGAGCGACTGTTTGACTTTATGTCCCAATTTAATCCTGATGCTTAACAATATTAAAATGGCTACTGTAAGAATGGAATATTGGAATGGTTAGAATGGAGGATGAACAGATAATTAGGAGGGAGATGTGGGAAGAAGAGCGAACTTTGCACAGCGCTGTCAGAATAGGGAAGCAGAACAGGATAGCTTTTATTAATATTATATACAATAAGCACAGAAGTGAGCTAAGGTCTTCAGTCAGTTAAAATGAAAGTGGATCAATCAAATGTCAGAGATTTATTTAAACACAAAGCAATAATAACATAATCATCTTTCTTATACTATAAGAAAAACATGAAAAGAGAAAAGAGGTTGGAGGAGAAGGAAAAAGGAAAGAGAGAAAAAGAAAAAGAAAAAAGAAAGAAAGAAAAAAACGAAACAGAGAAATTCAGGAAAATAAAAAATGAAAGATGAAAAGAGGAAGAAGAAAAAGAGGAAGCAATGGCAGAGGTGAAACAGATTAGGAAAGAAGGGCAAGAAGAAGAAGAGAATGTGAAGAAAACACCTAGACAAAAAATACAAGAAGAGGAAGAGAAAGGAGACAAGGTGATGACGAGGAAGAGGAGGAGAAGAAGAGGATGAGAAAGAGAGTAGGGGGAGGAGAAAGAGGAGGAGAGGAGAAGAGAACGGGGAGGAGAAGGAGGAGAAGAGTAGGGGGAGGAGAGGAGTAGGAGGAGGAGAGGAGAAAAAGAGTAGGAGGAGGAGAGGAGTAGGAGGAGGAGAGGAGTAGGAGGAGGAGAGGAGTAGGAGGAGGAGAGGAGAAAAAGAGTAGGAGGAGGAGGAGAGGAGGAGGGGAGGAGAGGAGAAGAGGGGGAGGAGAGAAGAAGGAGGAGGAGGAAGAAGAAAAGGGGAGGGGGAGGGAGAAGAAGGCGAGCAGAAGAGAAGAGGAGGGGAGGCGCGTACCTCGAGGAGGCGCGACAGCTCGGGCAGGATGGCGGGCGCGCGCAGCGTGAGCGGCGAGGGCCGCGCGTGGCCGGGCTGCAGCAGCACGAGGCGCAGGTGCGCGTAGCACAGCTGGCGCGTGTCGATGTCCCGGGGCACCACCAGGCGCGCCTCCGCCGCCAGCACGTACAGGTGGCGGAACGCCTGCAGGTGGTACCTAGGCACCGCGCCACACCACACACCGCCTTTGCGAAGGTCCCGGGCCCGCCAGGAAGAGAAACGGGGCAAGCAGGCCACCGCCCCGCTCGGTTCACTGGCACGTCATCTGCTATGGTCTTTAATCCAGTAAGATTTTTATCACGGGAGGCCTCCCCCGCTGGATGGGGAAATCCGGCGCAAGAGGTCGGCTTGCGGGTGTTTCCCCTTCCAAGTATCCCCCACCAGAAGAGTACCGCCCCAGCCGGGACAAGCCCGAAGCATCTGACGTGAGTGGTAGTGTACTGCATGTAAGTGTACGTAAGAAATGAAAATAAGATAAGGAAGAGGAATGAAAGAGCGTGCGCGTTCCGTGGCCCGTTTGTTAGTGTACTGCTCCGGCATTCAGCGGGTATTGATTGGAGAAACCACTGAAAACTAACAATCAGAGCATCCAGCTGCTAGAATTCTCCTTCAGACAGCGATTGAACTTGACATAACTGGAGTCGAAAATCCTGCCACCGTCGAGACTCAAACCCTAGAGCTCACTGGTCAGAGGCACTGATTGATGTGACACCAATTGATGCTCTGAGGCAACTATGCAGGTCTCTCAGTGCTAGAGAGCATACCTGTTGTTGTTATTGATGTGCCAGGGAGCATAGCTGTTATTAGTGAAACGGAAAGGGGAATACCTGTTATCATTGACGAAGCGCCCGACAGCATCTTGTTGTCATTGGCTAAGTGCCTGGGAGCCCACTTGTCATTGGCGATGTGAGAGCAAGTGTACCAATCGTCATCAACGAAGTGCCAGAGAGCATACCTACTGTCAAAGTAGCAGAGAGCGTACTTGTCATTGGTGAAGTGCCAGAGAGCATATCTGTTGTCTTTGGGAAAGTGCCACAAGGCATACATGTTGTCGTTGGCAAAGTGCCTGAGAACGTACTTGTTGCCATTGGTGAAGTGCCAGCAAGTACACTGATTGTGATTGCCCAAGAGTGTATCTGCTGTTGTTGTTGAAGTGCCAGCAAGTGTACTGATTGTGATTAGCTAAGTGCCCGAGAATGTACCTGTTGTCATTGGTAAAGTGCCAGAGAGCGTACCTGTTATTGTTGGTGAAGTGCGAGAGAGTGTACCTGTTATCATTGGCGAAGTGCCAGAGAGCTCCCTTGTTGCAATTGGTGAAGTGCCAGTGAGCGTACCTGTTGTTGTTGGTGAAGTACCAGAGAGCGTACCTGTTGTCATTGGTCAAATGCCAGAGAGCATATCTGTTGTCATTGATGATGTGCCACAAAGCGTACCTGATATCATTGGCGAAGTGCCAGAGAGCTTATTTGTAGTCATTAGTAAAGTGCCACAAAGTGTATCTATTGTCGTTGGCAAAGTGCCTGGGAGCTCACTTGTTGCCATTGGTAAAATGCCAGCAAGTGTACCTGTTGTCATTAGTGAAGTGCCACAAAGTGTACCTGTTGTCGTTGGCCAAGTGCCTGAGAGCTCCCTTGTTGCCGCCTTTGGTGAAGTGCGTACCTGTTGTCGTTGGAGTGCGTGGGGAACTTGGGGAAGAAAGCGCAGAGCAGCGCGGCGACAGCGGGCGGCGAGGCGGCCAGCGTGCAGCGCCCGCCGCCCAGGAACAGCAGCCCCAGCGCCATGTGCGTGGCCAGGTGCGAGCCGTACGTCACCACGCTGCCGGCACCCGCGGGCCCGCAGCGCGCGCGCAGCCGCCGGCACAGGCGCAGCACCTCCAGGTCGCCCGACCCGGCCATCACCTGCGCACGCACCGCACGTTCTACAGCGCCTGCCCACTGTACATAGACCACTTTCCGGCCATGAAATTATGCATGTGCAGGGACCAGCCATCACCTGCGCACGCACCGCGCGTTTTACAGCGCCTGCCCACTGCATACAGACCACTTTCCGGCCATGAAATTGTGCACGTGCAGGGACCAGCCATCACCTGCGCACGCACCGGACATACTACGGTGTCTGCCTTAGTTCTAAGAATGCGACATCGGCGTCTTCAAAACATCGATGTTTCTACAAAATAATCGATGTATTGAAATTTTTAACATCGATGTTTGGCTTAGAAGTTTTTTTCCTTTTCAATGTTTTGTTTGTGGATGAAAGATGCCCATAACAACAATTTTGTAAAAGTTACAATAAGAAACAATAACTGATGGTACCAATATCTGTTTGTATTCAATTGAAACCAACGCGATTTGTTCTACTTTCACTGAGCAGACTACCATCCATTGCTCAGAATGATCCAGTTGGCCTGGTATTTACTTCCTGATGTTTAAAAGCATCAATGGTTTTTGGTCAATGTATTATTAACATTTTGATTTTAAACATTGATGTTTTCTTGTACTACTTTGTAGTGCATACAGGCGAAGGGCTTCCCGTTTAATTGCACATAAGCCACTTGCTGGCCATGTAATTGTGCACATGTAAGGAATTGTGTGCAGCCATCACCTGCACATGGCTCAAATGTTCTACTGGGCAAACCCACAGCCATTGTACAGCGAACATGCCAATTACGGTTTGCTGTTCAATTGCACATAACGCCAGTAACTGGCCATGGAATTGGGCATAAGCAAAGGACCAGACATCTGCACACAGCCTGAACATTCTACTACACCTGTGAATAGCCAAGGTACTTGTATATGCCAAAGAATTCATGCTATTCAATTACACATATGCCAGTTACTGGTCATGCAAATGTCCACACACAAGGGACACTGATTTGCATACACACCAGGGGCCAGAGGCATTGAATTGCACATCCAGGATGCATTTCATTAGTGATAGATTAACTCTTAACTAGGCATTCAGAGGCTGTGGGGTTTCAACAAACTCCACCAATGGTTTTCATGCCTTCTTCTTTGTTACTTTGTTTCACTTCTTTCAAAGTGCCTGCATGCAATGTTTGTCTTATTTATATCAATACACATTATAATTACTACTGCCAAGCCAATTACCATTACTATTGTCATGCCGATTATCATCACTATTGTCAAGTTGATTATCATTACTATTGCCAAACTGATAATCATTACTATTGCAAGCTATGTGTCATTTCTACTGACATCATTGCTATTGCTATTTTCATTGCTATTGTCAAGTTGATTTTCCTTACTATTGTCAAGTCCATTTATTTTACAATTCAACAACAACCACAATCCAAAAACAACACCGTAATACTTACCATGGCAAGAGATAGAAGAATGACATTGAGGCAAGTTTCAATAGTGGACTTCCCAGCCAACTCTGCAATTGACTTTCCAGAGAGCGAAGTGAACATCCTCGCATACTTCATGAGGGTGGTGAATGCGTCGTGGTCAGAGGAACCAGCGTACCTCAGCCCTAGGGCCATACATGCACCAGCGAGGATGTTGCAGTAGGCTTGGCTGCACACAGTGACAACAGTAAAAAGTTAAAATAATGTTAAAAGTATTACTGTTAATATTACATGCAAGTGTGAATCTAATAAAATTTTCATAAACAGTTAATTTTTCAGATGTAATACGTCTTTTTTATTTAACACTACTATTTCTATTTTCATTTTTTTCAGTTTTAACTCATTTAAGGTTTGGACTCTTTATTAACTAAGAAACACACTAATTTACAACACGAAATAATCTAGAAATTTTTATCTACAAGGCAAATACAAAAGTAAAGGAGCAAAGAACTCTATCTACAATTCTGAGATATTGTTTCAAAAAGTTTTAGTATAACTATTTTCAGGTGCATCAATGAGTATCGTCAGTGCCATCAATGAGAGCCCAACAAAAAAATTGTTGGGCCGTCATTAATGTCAGTAAAATATCTATTGCTGTGGACCTCACACAGGAAAGGGGATGTTGTCAACTATCGTCTAAACCACAGAATCCACATTGGATACCTGTTATCATTTAATATAATGGAAAGTACCATAATGCTATTTAGAAGTGTTAATCCTATTGTATACCATATACACAAATTTTTGTTTCACACTTCCAGGAATATCATGCTATGGTGCACGTGTAGACAGGCTAATTATATTAACTTACTGAGAGTGACTTATCCACACATCTCTAAGTACTTTTACTAATACTGATAAGAATCACATTTTTTATTATTACTGATTAACTTATTGTAATCTTGCATACTTTTCATTACCTTCTGTGTAATTTTGTATCAAAATTATACAAACATAAAACTAAAGAATAATTGACACTAACAAAAATTAATTTATGTGGATTTGTTTGTTTATTTGTGTGTTTGATAATAAATAAGTAATAAAGGGGCAGGAATGAAAGACAAATGAGAAAGACAAGAACAATTTCTAGAAAAGGAGATTTGATGACAGGAACACAACAAAACTACTCAACACTCACTTCATTGTCTCGTAGTCCACAGAGTCTGAAGAAGGCGACTGTTGGGGCTTCACTAAGCAGTAAGGCCTTATGGAGGCTGGTACATTTGACTCTACCCAGGCACTTGTTGGGCGCACTTCTTCCCATAAAATAAGTGCACGCGAAACTATCCTCAGCAGGAGGAAGTCAGGCCGCACAAAGTCCAACAGGTATTGTGTGCTGGGTGCTTGCATCCAGTCTGCCACCGCCCTACAGAACACATTTTCTCACAACTCGAAGTTCATAAAATAATACGTTAGCAACAATGGGTTCTTAACTGATGGTACATGGATAGATCTAAGGTGATTCGCAAGAAGACCGAACTAGAAAAAACTACTTCTTGATTCATTTTTGTTTACACATTCCTTTATCAATTCCTGCAAGAATAGTATTGTGTCACAGTGGGAAAAAAAACACATTATCACAACAAAATCACATTAAGAAGAAAATCTGTAATAAAAGTTATCAACTGACTGAGAACAACTTCATTTAAACATAGAATCAACTTGAAAAAGCCTTAACATAATTAAAAGAATGCCTCTTCACATATTTTTAATCTGTCTTCTTAAGACTACGGATACATTTTAAGAGACCATCAGTGGAACCTGATGAACACATGGAATTTATTTCAACCATAGTTTAAATAAAGAAACACAATAAAATTTATTTTTAATGACAAATCTTTAATGAGGTTGCCTACAAAATTTATTACACCTTACCAACAAGGGTTGTTTCTGTCACTTACCTGTTGCCGGAATTGAAGAACATCATCCCCAAGGCAAGTGTTGCTCCTGGACTGGTGACGTCTATGCTGACTTGGTCTCCTTCTCGGATCTGGTAACTGGGAGATTTGTACTTTTCTTTCTGGGAACCTGCAACAATCAAATTCATAATTCACTACCTGCATTTTAGGAAATAATACATGGCATGATGAAGAAGAAAAAATGTCTCAGATATTTGAAACTTTCATGAAAAGGTTAATTTTACATCCAAGTGAATAAAAACAATTTCAGAAGTAGAAAGGGGAGAAGGGAAAAATTGATTAAATACAAAGTACAGATTACAGTATATATTATTTTAGTTGACGTTAACTGACCACCTGCCTACAGAGCCAGGCCCTGCCTTCGAACCCTGCCCTGGCTCTGGACCTGGCCCTGTCTTCGGACCAAGCCCTGCCTTTGGAACTGATCCTGGCTAATGTTTTTTATTCAATTGCAGCATAACAAGAGTCCATAACAGATTTCTTGTTATATGAGATTCTTGGCTTGTCTACAATTCTAAATTATTCTTGACTTCCAAATGGCACAAAGGACGATGGTAATTGATAAGGCATCAAAAAACAAAATAACAAACCAACTATTCATGTTAGACAATTTTTTTTATTATGAAAATTTCAGTAACCTTTCTGATATACGCAATGAATGGAAAAATCTACATCCAGAAAGGTAGAAAACCATGGGGTTATCTAGAGTAATACACAAAACAAGTGTCAGTTCCAGATTTAATTTAAGTGAATCCATTACAAAAAAATAATTTGGGCAATTTCTGGATTTTTCTTGTGAAAATGTTTAAATGTGTATTGTTATAGGAAAATGGTAGCTGGCTTAGTAAATCTATAATAGCCACATACCACTGATATGTTTTGGTTTTTCATTGTATCTTAATACTTCTGCAGCACTTCCAAAACAAAGGTACAGATGAAACCAAGTGGAAATGAAGTATCAAATTTGAAACCCACAAGCAAATCATTTACTTCATCAGTATCCATGGCCCCATTCAATTTCTGTCCAGAAAAAATCTGTGAGGGTACATCCAGGACTAAGGATACTTTACATACCTGGTGAATCTAGTGCTAATTCATGAAGTGCTCAGTGCATCAAGTGTTCAGTTCTTTAAACAGATACCCATTTGCTGGCATTTGTGCAAGATCTCAGCAGACTGTGGATATGAAGGAGAGAGGACAGGAGACAAGGCTACATCTGGCAGAATGAAGTAAACGAAAATCCCTGCCCTCCTTTGGACCGAGAGTTTAGATGCCAACATGCGAGTGTTTCCGGAACATGATTGCAAGCTTGCAATGCTTTATGTCACACTTGTACTTGCACGAACTCACTCTCTGATTAAAGTTTCACAAAAGCTTACAAGTTACTTCCAATGGGTACCAAAAGCCCCTATGGCAGCGTGCACCCAAACCCTATCTACAGCTTTCTGCAACAGCCACTTATTTCAGTCCTTTCACTACAACTGCCGTTGCATTTTTTCCTGACAACACACAGAAGGGTTAAACGTGTTGCAGAGAGTTGTTTATTGAGATGAAGACAAGACCTACCTGTGAAGGGCCGCTTGTGGCCGCCCACCATGTAGTAGTGCAGAGTGTCCGGGATCTGAAGGTCTGCAAGGCCAGAGAGGTGAGACGCTCGGCCCAGAACGACCAGCCCCAGAGCCAGACCAGCCGCCAGGGAGTACGACTCGCGGTCCACGCTGTTCTCCATCTCAGGACCAGGTGGACGACCTATAAGTAAATCAACTTTCATCACTTGTTCTCTATGATGGTTTTCAACATTGTGTTACAAGTAATACACATTGAAGCTGGGATGCAGTTTCAGTATGGGGCATTCTTAAAGTGCCAGCTTGAGCTTGAGAAAGCCCAGTTGCCCCAGATCTGTAGTACAAATGAATTACATAAGTTGTACAGCCCTACTTTAGAGAATGCCACGACATCAACTGGTACTATAAAAAATTGCTTCAATTGTAGCTACATTCACATGAAACTACTGTAGCTTAATTAAAAGAACTCTTCACCCAATATACTACTTAGTAAAAAGCAATGACATATTCTCACCTTTTGTTTTCCCCTTTCTTTTATATTTACTAAAACTTGACAATGTTTAATAGCAATGTGTGACTCGATATTTTGTACTGTCCAAAAGCACACAAAATAGTATTACTACAGTCTGTATGATAATTATTAACATATAAATAGTGAGGGTGAAACTGAAACAGTTATTTATTGATTTATTTTTTAAATCAATGCAGAAACCAGAACTAAATGCAATAGATTTGGTTTTTAAAAAATCGGCATAATTAAATGTAAGTTGTAATGCTGGGTTTAGGTTTCAAGAAGTGACTCATGATGTAAACCATTGATTTTAGAGGGCAGACGTTTTGGTATTATTTCTTTATTTTAAATTATTTGAATTTTTATCCTGAAGAGGAAAAGAATCCACAAAACCTTTCATATAATTAAGTTCCACAGCATTACCATTAATTTTGGAGTTATTTAATAAAACTATTTAATTACCAATACGGAGAAGAGACATGGGGACACCACATGAGAAACAGTTAGATCAAGAACACTGACGACTAAATAGTCATCGGGTCTACAGGGAAACACAATTGTGTCACTCACCTAGCAAAGTAAAGTATATAATGATGTTGATGCTGATTTAAGAAAAAAAGAGAAGCATTATTTAAAGTCTGAACCCAAACCTTTTATTATCTAAACTGAAATATTTTATTAACCAAAACCCAAATCAGAATGTTATGAAATGGATTGCCGCTTCAGAGAATTCTCAAGATTTTGTTCATGTTCAGTCAGTAACAGAGGGAGGTGTTACCTGTCAGAAAAGAAAGGTTCACTTGTCTTAACTCATTTAACTTCAACAATCATAAGATACTCGCTGGCAGGCCTGTGAAATTATGCTCATGTGGACCACTATCTTGAATGGTTTTGGAGACTTATCACTGACACTTCTTGCAATGATGCTCCAGAGCGGTAGGACAGTTCAATGAGCACAGAACACACACTTTTCTTTCTTTAAGAAGATCCATCACAATATCATTACCCATAAATACCTGTTCTCAACAATTATTTTCCCCTGGGCCATTTTTGTTTCATTGTTTGCTTCCTAGCTTTGTTACTCCCACAAATACACAGAATTGCCATCCTTTTAACAAGATCCATCATGATATCATTAATAATTATTTACTCATATACTGGAAAATCAAGTCTCATAGTTCCAAAAAAAATCTCTCACCGATTTCAGAGAGTAAGACTTCAGCCATGCGTCTGTGGGCAGTCCCCTGGTACACCAGACCCACACCCAGCAGGGCTGCCACTTGCACGTTCTGTTGGATGTCTAACTCTATGGAGGTAGGTGGCAACAATGCCTCCAGATGAAGGGACAGCATTTTTGTTGTTGTGATGTCCATTGTCCCTAGAGAGAGAAAAAAGGGATTGTAAATACTTGCCAAAACATTTTTAAAAATATACTTTAAAAATATTTAATACATTTTCTTCCTTAGAATGTACATTTGAACTATTTCTTTAACACTGTGACAATACTAAAATTATCATATTTATTATCACTTTTGTATTTAAATGTCAATTTTAAAATTTAAAGATTAAGTAATATTTAAAATTTAACTTGCTCATTTATAAGATTTTAAGGATATTTAAAAATATCAGTTGTTAACAAGAAAATAAACGTTTTGTGTGTTTAAAAAACTGAACAGGAACTGAATTACACAAGGGTTGCAACTGAATGAGGACCATGCATAGCCCATTTTTCATGTACTAGGGCCTTGGTTTGATTTCCAGGAAGGAAGGCCAGAGAAATTTGCAGCTTTTACAAAAATGTCTTAGTATCTATGTATGTCAGGGATATTAGGGCAGCTGCTGAGGATTTATGTCATGATACATAACATAGTTCATTGCATAGTTGTGAAAGGTGTTACTTGTAGAGCTGACATCAGCTTTGAAACCCTCTGGCAGAGTGAGGAAAGCAAACCCACATTTCCTCCGGTTGCCTAGTATACCTTTTTAGTGATTTTCTCAAATTAGATATACTGAGTTTGGATGGCCAAACTGATTCAGAGATGCTGTTGAATAAGACAGATTTCAACTGACTGACTGACAGCTTACCTCTCTTGTTAGCAGCGACCCCAAGCAAAAGCCCGACACTTGTCATCTCGTGGCATTTTGCTAAATACTCATACGCATTCCAACGAGCCAGGTTGCCCAAGTGTCCATTCAGACCTAGGGCCATTAAGAAGCCTGCATGCTCCGTTGATACATCTTGGGTGCCCTGCAACAGAAGAGGCATGTTCACCACTAAGACACACATCGTCAACTTACCAAATGCAATATTCTAGCAATTGTGACCAGAACCAGGGAAAACAGGGAAAATTGAAGTAGATACAGAAACAAAGTGAGAAGAAATATTTTAACATACAACGCACATGCCAAAAGAAGAGGGAGAAAGAAGAAAGACAAATTCAATTCAATTACGCCTTATTTTATGAGGTGAGTCTCAGGTCGTCAGGCCTCACCCTCCATCTAACCATACAAATTTTGCACAAAGGAAGAAATGGAAAATGAAAGAAACAAGGGCATAAACAGAATGAATAATAAGAAGCAGAAGGAAAAGAGATGAAAAAGGAGAGGATATGAGAGAGAAAATGAATAGTATTACCCAAATACAAAATGGCCCGTGTTTCTATGAAGGGAATTAATGCCCATAAAAGAAAATGAATAAATAATCACTTTTATATTATTTATATATTATGTGTAAGTCAATATTATTTATACACCCTTCACGAATTAAATGTTCATCCAATACTCCAATACTTGAACCATAATCTTGTACATTGTTTCTATGTTTTAGCTGCTCTCTGCAGTTCTACCACATAACCAATCTTAACATAAGATGCCAAAAGCAAAAGAATTTTAGAGATGTTCTTGACATCAATTACGTGCAACTTGAAAATGGTGTGACCTAGGGCCTGAAAATAATTCCTTGGCCATAAACCTTTGGTTAATTCCTGACACTGAAATCTACTAAAGGAGATCTTTTGAGACCATCTATTACAATTTTGGGACTTTGACTCTTCAGTAGGGTGCACATTCTTCAATTGTTCTAGAACAGACATTTTTCTTCTTGCATGAAAATAAGATGACCTCTGATTTTCAGAGAACAGAATTTGGAATAAATATTTGTCTTTTATTCTGGTAATTACATTATTTATTTATTTATTTATTTATTTATTTATTTATTTATTTATTTATTTAATTACTGAATGTATAATTAGTCTAATTTTCAAACACATGTCTCAAATTAACAAACATTAGAGAAAAATGCAAGAAAAAGTTTTATATGGGCAGTGTCACTACCCAGTACTAAACATAAGTTTTGTCAACAGACCTTTGGAGAACATTAAATTTATTTGTCAACACATTTTTATTTTGTTAGAATATAATACCAAACTGGTAGTATATTCAGTCCATCAAAAGTAGCTAAGTAAAGCTCGAACAGAGTACCTTGGGCTTGTTGTACACAATCCAGGAGGATTCTATGTCCGGTGCATGAGGTACTACACGCAGTCCTGCTGCCACACCATTGTGGAAGAGGGGCCACATGTTCATGTTGGGCACCACCTCAATGTGCGACAGATCCACGGTGGTGCCTCTGGGTGGAGCCCTGCCCGTGAGGCACAGCCGCGGGATGGGCAGTGCCTCTGTCACCACGGGCACAGCGGTGCGGAGGGTGAACATTCCCCTACAGAACAACATATTTCTGGTCACTAACAGCATATATATTGGTACTTTCAAATCACAATATCCACACAAATGCAATGATATTCATGCACTCTTGCAGTTGCATAACACAAGAACATGTTCATGTATATACAGACTACAGAGTCAAAAAATCCAGTAGATAAACATTTTTTCTTTACAAATCAAGAAAATAGGCCAGAATCTTTTGATACCTTTAAAGTTATCTCATACCAAATAAAGGTATAGATTTTTTCTTTAATTATCAATTCATGATTGAAAGCATTGAGAAGATTGCAGTAACATTTGGAAGAACAGTCTTTCCAAATCTGAAGAAGTTATAATATGATATTTTTATTACTTCACACATAAAACATGATGATAAAGTCTATACTCTTCTTCAAAGATAAACAATTGCACTTTGATGTCATTTTCTCCATGTACAAATTCCCTAATCTTACAGAATTGCAATTTTCTAATGAATTAATTTTACCCCCAAGATTTTCTTATTATTAATCTTACTGAACACCCTGTTCAATCATTCAATTACCTCCCAACTGGAAGTGCCATGGTTCGAGTACAAATTGCATAAAGATGGCGCTCCTGCTCTTCAATGAACTCATGGTCAGATACTTCAGGTCGCTGGGCGATGTCAATTCGAACAGGCTGTGAGGACTGCAGAAGGCGCCGTACTTCTGCCACACGATGGTCCTGACTGAAGCGTAGTCGCAGGATCTGTACAAATCACACATTTTCAATATTGTCACTCGACAATTCAAATTTAATATAATTCTAAAACAACAATTATCAACTTGGAAAAAATACAAATATGAATCATTAAGAGATCTCACCTAGAAATAATACAACAGGAAATTTAACCACTTATTAATAGGGACAAAAGATTTTATCCATAATAAGAATTAACTGAGTACTTTCTGAATAATTTAATCCTACTTCACAAAGATGTTAGATGATTGAACCTATACTATAAATTTAAACTGCAGAAATTAATAGTGATTAATGCTGAGAATTATGAAAATGCAGATTGACATTTATATGTTTGTTGTTGCAGCCTCTTTCTAAGTATTCCTTTACTCCAGACATGCCTCAACTTTACTCTCAAGTTTTGCCTTTTGTCTCTATTATCAAGTGTTTTCTAAAGATGACTCCATTTCTCGTACTTTCAAAATGCAACAAAAAGCCTTTCTTCCTCACTGCAGAATTTTAAGAAAAGAGAACCAATCTTAACTTTTTATACACATTCTGAATTACACTCCATAGGTAATTTCTCAATACAAGGTTTTGATAATGAATATTCATGGGGAAACTAAAGTAAATTCATGCCTCTAAAATACAGTTATCAGATTAAATATATCCTGTATTTGTCTACAAAATCAACACTAAAATAAATTTTATGAAGAAACGGTATTTTATGAGCCAAGTTTCATATTTTTGTTTCTCATAACCTTGAACACTAATTTTTTAGTAAGTTTGCTGCAACTGAACCATTGTGTAATAATAAAAGAAAAACCGATATTACTTCAAGTAAATAGAGCAAAAAAATATACTAGTGAGCTCAGTTTCATTGTTTAGCAATAACAGAGGACACAAGAGGAAAAATTATATCCAAAAGTTGCAAAAATATAATTTTACTGCACAATGATGCTTCATGGGGTCCAAACAAAAAGAAAAATCTCAAAATCTAAATTTACCTATAAAACTACAACTTCACAAAAGTTTCTTTGAGCAATGTGGAACTAAGTATACAAAATTTCATCAAAATCCAAGATGATTTTGAAGGAGACTTTTCCAAAACTTTGTCTTGGATGGCCCTTTTTGTACCTCCAGGAAAAAGGATAAAACGAGGGGGGGGGGGAACTTACGGTGTTTCAAAAATGTACTTTGGATTATAATCGGTAGGAGATATCAAAAAGTGTGTAAGGACATTTCTTAAAGAATACGTTTATTGCATGTCATTTAAAAAACCAAATAGCATAAAGATTGGACCAGGGGTTACGACATAATGGCGGTTAATATACTACATAATGTCATTTTTCGCCATCTTTAACAGCGTCTCAAGATAAGCCCGGCGACAGCATTTGGTAGCATCCTGCACTTTTATATGTTCTAATGCAATGTATCATAATTAAGAATCAAATGAGAGCCGGCGTCCGAAGGCGTTTGCATAAGTGGGCCACAACGTCCTCGTCTCACAACGTCTGCAGCGGGCAATGCATGCGCCTGCGACTAACGCTAGGCAATTCGCCGTACACTCGTGTCTAAAGCGAGAAACGTTGCCTATCGTCCCCTGATGCCATTATGCAGGCGCGAAGGGACGTCGGAAAGTGCCGACCGCAAACGACAACGCCCGAGCGAGAAGTCGCCGCGCACTTGCAATTGCACGGACCACGAGACGCAACCGCTGTCACGCACCTTGTAATATCCGCGCAACTTTTCTTGGCCGATGGGTTGGACCAATGTGGGTAGGGTGGTATACATTATTTACAAAATCGGCCACTAGGCCGATTAAATCGCCTAAGTAGAAAAAGCATTCGAAAAAATTAAAGTCAAACCTACACTTCAATGTAACGCGTGGCTGGTTAATTTTCTTCAACTGGGAAGCATAATGGCTACTTTTTAAAGTGACGGATACTGAAATATTATTATTATTACCTTTTCATCAACTGAGCCAGACTAAAAAATAATTACCAACACGACAAATGTTTTTATCATTTTTGTTACGAACGGGAGACAGGTTTCCCAGTTTTTTAACTAAGCCGTACGAATGGGATATCAATAAGGAATATTGGTAAATCGGAAGATGGCGGTGTCATGGTTCTTTTAACCGGAAAAAATTTCTTCACCAGTAAGGAGTCGGTTGTCAACAATGTAAACGTTCAGTTCGTGAACGGGGCTCAAGAATACGAACTGAACGTGAATTTCAGTTCGTTATTTTTCTTACTACAAATTAATTTTATAGCCAACGCGGTAAGTGCGGCCTATCCTGTGGAATTGTGATGCTTCGCTATGCGTGTTCGAGTTGAGGACGAGGTTCGAGCCTTCGGCCGTCGCTTTAACATAAAACATCCTTGAGGCTGTCCAACGCATAATAACCAACCTTTTTTATGCGAGTACTCACCTTTAAAATCGTTGGACAGTAGATGGAAACGGCCGATTCTGCATCACAACAAAGGAGATACCCGGTGGGGGAAACCGGCGCCACCGGATGTTGTGATGCAGAATCGGCCGTGCCTTATCTACCAGCTGTGGTGGCCGGATGTAAACAAAAACATCCGACGTCAATGAAACCATCTGGTGTGTACATGCGAGGTCAACATCCGGCGCCAAGAGCCGGTGCGTCGGCAAGGCCGCGGAAGTGCGAAGGTCGCCGCCGCCAGCTGCTGGGGAGGCCGTGACGTCACGTCTCCAGCCTGACTGCCTGCCTACCCTTAGTTTTCCCTTAGTTTTCGTTTGCAGAGGTTGGTACACAGGGTAGGCACGCAAGCAGTCCGTCAGGCTGGAGACGTGACGTCACAGCCTCCCCAGCAGCTGGCGGCGGCGACCTTCGCACTTCCGCGGCCTTGCCGACGCACCGGCTCTTGGCGCCGGATGTTGACCTCGCATGTACACACCAGATGGTTTCATTGACGTCGGATGTTTTTGTTTACATCCGGCGACCACAGCCGGTAGATAAGGCAGGGCCGATTCTGCATCACAACATTCGGTAGCGCCGGTTTCCCCCACCAGGTATCTCCTTTGTTGTGATGCAGAATTGGCCGTTTCCATCTACTTTGGACATTCATCCTTTTTAATTTTATTTTATTTTTAAGGGAATAGTATTATACTGACCTACAGGAACAACAACAGTGAACAATGAACCATGTCACCACTTCCAACACAAGAAAAAAATAAATCCTTAAAAGGAACCAAAGGAATCCTGACACTGCCAACTTCCAATCAACCAGGATATTTCTTGTTTTATCTCCAGAGGCATGTGACAGTCCTTATCTCTCACTTACTGTGGATGATAAGGTGAGCCCTGTCCTTCGCAATCCGGGAGGCGAGTGTTGATACAGATGGGCCTCGAGGTACTATTGAGCGATAGTGGGCCGCTGTGACATTTCGTGTAATAACGGTGTGCTGTAGTTTCGGAAGCAAAAGAAGAGGACGTGGATAGCTTACATTTGCCTGAAAACGTCACCCCAACACACAAGAAGAAAACTAAAAAGAGAATTATAAGAGAAAGAGGCTTTCCCCATTGCCAGAGAAATCCCATCGTTTGTAATTTTTGTACAAGCACCTTTGTGCAAGAGTAAAACAGAAAAAACAGTACATTTTCAGATGTGTTTGCATGCTACAATTCTTTTACTGCAAAAAATAGTACGAAAACATAATTTTCATTGTTTAGTGGGTTGGTTACCAACAAAAATTAAAAAAAAATCAAATTATTACTTATCTTTATTTCTAAACTAATTTTCTCATCTGATAAGATCTTTTTCTTAACAACATGAATAAACAATGATATTTGTAAGTTTTTTGTTTAAACATTTATGAATCTTTATATCATTTAATAAATTACTTAATTAAATACTAAAGCATTTCTTGTATCCAATTCACAATTTCTCCCCTCTGTGAACGTATCATCAGCACATGAAGAAAGTCATGAGTGCCACACCGTTTTGAAGGACATTCGCATGCTCCTTCATCCGCAGACCCTCATATCTCTCCATTGCTTTCCCCTCAACATACGTCCCTCTGTGCACGTATTTCCCCTCTCTGCTTTCTTGTGGTACCCACGTGCTAGAGAATGCTGATGCTCACGCACATGCTAGTATTCACCAGAAGCCAGTTGAGCATGTCTAACATAAACTGTTGAAAGTGGGAAGGGTTTTTTTTTTTTCCTTTAGAAAACAAAACTAGAGACATCACCTCAGAGTCCACCGTCTCCATGCCGTCTTCTTCCTCGCTTTCTGGAGCACGAGCTGCAGCAGCTGCCGCAGCCGACTTGCCTGCAGCTGATGCAGCACCTGCAGCTGCTGCTACTGCAGCTGCACCTCCACCCACTACAGCTGCGCTGCTTCCTGTTGTAGCAGCTACTGCGGCTGTTGATGTGCTGCCCCCAGATGCAGCTCCGCTGCAAAAAAAAAGAAATCCTTGCAACACAGAGCAGCCAGAACGTTTCTGCAAATGCTCTTAATGCAACAGGTATCATCTGAACAAATCTAAGAGAAAGCAATTAACAGAATGTTTAATAAGGCATGCTTATTTAATACTATATTTTCACAAATGAGGTTTCTTTCTTCAATGAAGAAGCCAATCGTATGGATTGTGGGATAGTATTTAATCAAATTGGCTGTTAAATATTTTATTTCTTTTCCCCTATCTTTATTTCTGTCATTGCTTGAATAACCAAGACAACAGTTTTCACTAATTAATAAGCAAACAAATAAATAAATAAATTCAAACTCAAGTCCATAACATTTATAAAATCAATGCAAATTATGTCTTAGCAGAACAACATTTTTTATAGATCTGCAGGTGCCACAAGATCAAATTTTTCACAAAACAAAATATTAAATTGATGTTACCATTGATTTTCAAACAAATAATTGCAGGGTTCAGAATGAGAAAGGCCAATGCCATAAGACCAAAATTTTGTTGGACAGAAAAAATTAAGTTTACAGAAAGTTTATCAGACACTTTAGCATTACAACACTAAGTCATTGCAGTGCCATATGTTGTCATACAACAGGATGTTGCTATATGACATTTTTGATCAAATTACATGCAAAAGATACTTTTTTTAAAAAAAATGTGACTTAGGTCTGCATTATTTGGAACTCTTCAATTTTGAAATGCACAACAATTATTTATCAGAGCATTTCATTATGTGTAAGCTGCTTGACGTTATAATTTGCAAAAAGTATTGTCATCAAGTGTTCACAAGGATTACCAGTTTATTCCCTCAAGAATTTCTCCATTCACACATCAAAATTCAACCACTACTATTAATTTCAAAGTACCAAGAGAAGTACTTGAACAATCCCATACAATACTTTCAGATCAACTATATATCTCTGAAATATTATTGACATAAGACTGCTATTTCGACATAATTTCAAATAATTGGTTTTAAATCCCGACACTTTAAAGTTTAAAGGTCAGTTGTTACACTATCAGGGTACCAAGGAATTAAAGGGTGACCATTGTATTTTCTTATCATGTGCTTCCCAGAATAAGGATGAGACTGTACAACAATGAGCATGTATAATTCCAACCAACATAGAAAGAAAAATGTCTGCACTCACTTATTGCTGGCGGGAGAGGAACTTCCACTGGAATGAGGGCTGCTAGATGCTGGTGCATGTGTGCTTAGGGCTGCAAGGTCCTGACGGAGAATGAGCTCGTATGCAGAGCGAGGCCAATTTGACGGTGGTGACTGACGACATCGGTGAAGCACATCGCTAAGAAGCAATGCAATACCAGCAGGCAGTGTCTGTAGTTCCCTTCTGGTAATGCCTGAACAGATATTAACATACGTACTACATTACACTCAGCAAATTCTTAAAATCTGTAAATTTGAAAAGGAAGACATTGGTTTAAACTAAAAATAACACATTTATGTTTAGTACTCATAAAGCATATCTATCGTGTTTTCTTAAAAAATCTTTAGTAACAAATATTACTAATTACTATAAGTTACAGAAACATATAAGCAATTTAAAAAACTATAAGTACCTTATTTACCTGAATATAAGACAAATTATTTTCCAAAATATCTCTTTAGAAAATTAGGTCATCTGATAATCACTGATTAAGTCTAGTTGGTTGGAATTTTGTTTAATAATGCATTTCAATGTCAAGAAATTAATGCAGATGTTAAAGCCACAAAGGCAATACAAATCTAGCACACCTATAATGCCTAATTAGGCTTTTGGACAGTTTTTTGACATTAACAGCGAATTTGCCGCATCACGAGTGCAATTTGTATTTTTGTCTGTTTTTACTTTTTGGTTTCTTTGTATTTGAGGTTTGACAATGCCAAGGTTATATGTATCACAGCTAACAGCAAATATCGCAATGGAACAGACTTATTTTTTATTCCACAGTTTTCTGCGCACAATATTTTTGTTTTCATCAAAATAACATTGTTCACCTGGCAGTGAACCACTTCCATCAATGCAAAGAGCCTGCAACTGGGGTTCACACAAACATTCTTGAATTGCGTGATACTTCTGAAATGAATACGTGTAAATCTGCCGTAATTCCTTTACTTCATGCATTTCCATTCCTACGAGCATTGTTGCCCTTACACTTCCTTTTAGGCTGGTGACACTTAGTGGAGGGAGTGTCTTAAAACAAGTGAACATCATGCTCTACTCATAACCAGAAGATCGCTACAATCTCCCATTATTCTCTTTTATATACCACACAAATACATTTCGCTACACAATTATACTTTAGTTTATCATTTTAATTCTTGACTTCATACAAGGTGGGCAAAATGAAACAACTTTTGAACCAATAGAGATAAATTACAACAGGAAAAAAACTTACCCATCTCTGTCATGAGCAGAACAGCACGCTGGGGAAATGGATACGCTGCACTGGGTGCAGAGTCCCTGGTGGAGAGAATAGATGGCGTCTCCACGCACGTGCCAGGTGGCACCAACTGCCGCACAAAGCCCTCCAGTTGGATGCGAGGCATCTGGGCACCGTGAGTAATAAGTGCTGCCAACTGGAATCATTAAACATATAAATAAAAAAGGTGAACATCTTTTCAAAATGAAAACTTTCTCCTATTAATGTTCTTGTTACAAAATATTAAAGAATCGCAATTTCTTCCTTACCAACTCTTCTCCCTTTTTTTGAAAAATTTTCAAGAATCAAGGTGGAAACCTCATTATACTCATGAAACAACGCTCAAGTAACTTATTAAAAATAATTAAAATCTTTAATTTTTGAGAATACAACAGTTTTAATGAACATATATTTTTCCAATTAATTTCGATGAATTGACTTTCATATTCACTTAATATATTCAAGGAACAAAAAAATTTGAAAAATGTCTTGCATGGGCCACGATTTAATCCTAATACCTTCAAGGATTAGGAAGACCTCTACCATCTGAGTTATTGAGGTCTTCTAAGGGACAGCACTTTGTTACTATCCACAACTTTAGTTTGTTTAATGCAAGAAGATTCTCTCAAAAAATCTTGCAAACTACTTGCAAAAAATTGTGGAGGAAATGATTTAAAGAACTGATATTAAGAAACTTCTAGCTTCAATTTTGACAGCAAGTGACACATTTAAACAAATTGCTGAAAGAAAATTGTTGATTTAACAAAATTGCATGAAAACTATTAAACTTTCAAAAAAATTGTACTCCATAATATTTTAATGATCTCAATTTTAAGAATAGATTTCATTTAGAAAAAATTTAAATTGTCAGAAATATATTTGTAAAAGGAGGTCAAAATATGTTTAACTTCTGAAAATTCAGAGGTTTCATCGACAGCTATGCCATTTTTTAAGTGTACTTTGTTTCATTCAAGCAAAAAAAAAAAAAAAAGAGAAGAAGAAGAAGAAGGATAATAATAATAATAATAATAATAATAATAATAATAATAATAATAATAATAATAATAATAATAATAATAAGAAGAAGAAGAAGAAGAAGAAGAAGAAGAAGAAGAAGAAGAAGAAGCATATTTAAGAAAATTTGTAATACATGCTTCTAAGTAAAAGCATATTAATCACCAATATCAAAGTATGTATCACCCTTCCCAAGTTACCCCCAAAAATTAAGATTTGATTCAAATTTAAGTCAGCAACATCATCCAGATTGTTCTGAGAATACTTTTTCATGAATACTCTGATATTATTTCATGAGTATATGGTATTCAGACTACACAATCCAGATTGAAATAAGTATGTTTGTTATATTTAAATTCTAAACTTGCTAGTCACTACTACAAGCAAAAGGAATGAGAATGAAAAAGGAAAAAACTATGTTCTTGCTAACTTCATCTTACTGCCTTCGCTGAATTATATTATTGTTAACCGAGAGTATAGGCTTTTCATGGCTGGAGCCAGTAACTACTTGGCTGCCCGGGAGAAACCGCATTCTATGCACAGGAGACACCTAGGCAATTCGCCTTGAGGAAGGTCACAGAATGGGGGCCGAACCATTGGCACCTGTGTAAGATGCAGCAACTCCTAGACAGCCAAGTAGATACATTACTGTGAACTGCTGTCAAGCCTAAGAAAAACAAAGAGCAAAATACATCCTACCTGCACTATGTCTCGCGTTCGAGGATTGACACTCGAGATGTATGGGAAAGGTGTTGGTTGCAGGCCCCTCGTAAGCCAGAAGATGTGTTGGCACAGATCCGGTGGTTCGGATCCCAGCAGCTGGAATGAAGGTAGTCGATGCAGCTCTTCTGGGCTAAACTGACTCACCTACAAAAAGTAACATATTCTCAAAGTAACTGTTCACAGTCACAACCACAAAGTCTGTACAGGCTGGCCACTCATTTAAAAAAGTACAAATTAAAATGTGATAAAGTACAAATTCAAACTAACTCAACAAATCCAATTTGACTAAAAAATAATGTACTATTAATAATGATGTCTAATTTTATAAGTATTTCTAATATTCCCTGACTTCTAATGATTCTTCTACGAATTCCCTGATTTTCCCCAACTTTTTCAGAGCAATAAAAATCCTAGATTTTTTCTGTCTTTCCAGGTTTTGTAGAAAGAAGCTACCATGTTGTAAGAAGAAGACTGAACTATGGTGTTGAAAGCTTGGAAAGGATGGGTACGAAAAACATCAGCAGCAAATCGAACACCTTTTGCTTCAGCGACAGGACACAGCGAAAAAAGGAATATATTTAGACTTTCTTCAGTAAATAAAAACTTGTGCACACATAGTTGACCAACACCCTCTACAGAGTACCCGGAAAGTCTCCCTGCACCGCATTAAATCAGAGTCTGGTATAAAAAATTGCATTTATATTGGTACAAACCAGATCACTAGAAGACAAGCGAAGGGAACCACACTTCCAGTATTTATTATGATTGTGAGCAGTACACAATTTACTTTCTCTTTTGTTATAAGCTAAAGCTCATTCTACCAACATAATATTTGTTGCAAACCACTCTTGCCAGCAAGGAGCCACTGCACACTACATTTTAGTGTGGGTAAGAGTAAATGCTTTGAATTGACACATGAATTTGTTGGCCGTTGCCCCAAAATACCATCAAACGTCCATAGACCATGTGACATTGTCGAAGCAAATGGTGTCTGATTGGCTGCCAATGCTTTTCATATATATCATCACCACCAAAGTTGAGTCTCCTTCTTACAGACTTAATGTTCAAAACATTACTCTCCTACACTGATGCAAGGTTTTCAAATTAAGAATTATCTATTTTTCATAATAATAATGATAATGATAATCATCATCATCATCATCATCATCATCATCATAATAATAATAATAATACTAATAATAATAATATGCCTTTATTAATATGGCGAGGCAAAATGACCATGGAAGATGTTGAAATTATCTAACCTTTCACAAACACCTTTCCAATGTTTCCTAAAAAGTTTCCTTTTTTAATACTTTTAATGAAAAACAATGCAGCTCAATTTACTGATAATGGATTTAAAGAAGACAAAAATGTGTGCTTGATAATCAATAGAAAGTACCAATTCCAGAAGTAATCAGCAAAAGTTACAGTTTTCAATTGCTAGTCTTACAGATTTCAATTTTTAGTCTTACAATTTTTATTCAAGTTCAATATCCCTCTTGATTAAAAAATTCTTTGATACATTCCAAAGCACATCTACAATTGATGATAGATTCCAACGCATTTATTTATTAAAATTTTAGAAGTTTGGAAGCAAAATCATATTCTCTGATTTTTCAGGCTGTGGACATTCCATTTTAAAAATTGAGGACTTTGTTCTTTGCATTCTACTTAAGAGGTGAACCTTACCTGATTCATAAGAGGGGTGCACTGTAGAGGGAAATCTCTCCAGTAATGTTGGCAATACGCATTCAGCTGCAGATCCCCTGCCAGCTGGTGAAGTAGTGTGGCCAACATGGGCATGCTCTCTGACAACAGAGCATTGAGCTTTAACTCCTACAAACAAACAACACAGCAAAATACAAACCCAATTACTCATGATTCGGTTAACTACGATTTAGAGTTTTCTGAATAGTACGTTAACAGAGAAAACGAGGAACTGTAACAGTTTTGTTTTAGTGGATTCAACACAAATTTTCAATTGCATTATATAAAATGCCCCCATGATTTACTTCATTTTTGTAAGGAAAATCGATGGAAGGATTGTTATGATTTTTATTAGATTTCAAGATATAAAGAAAAGTTTTCAAATACAATTGATACATTATGTTAAAATAATTATATTCATAATACTTTTTATCAATATCCCCCACCATAACAGTTTAAGGAGTATTTCATTAATTTTGTTGTAAATATCTACTAATTAAGCAATAAAACCTTAAAACATGTTTAAAAAAGTTAAAAAAATTAATGATAATTTAATTTGAGAAGTATTATTTATCTTTTCTTGCATTGAAACTTACAATAGTCATGAACCAAAGACAATATTATGGTTATGACTTTTGTCTTCTAAGAACACATTTCTTTCCTCCCAATATCTGTTCAACAAAATCATGCCATACCCACCTCATAGAGCAGATGCAACGAGTAGGTGATGAGAGGTAGAGATGACAGTAGAGGAGCATCAAAGCTCATGCGTCCAGCTGCCGAGGAGGCTGCAGAAGACGCACTTGTAGCAGTCGATGGTGGTGGGGCGCGTCGCAATCCTATTATGTTTGAGAGGCCAGGACCCACAGCAGAATGAAGTTCTGAGCGTACCTGGCCAAAACAAGCAAAAGTTCACCCTTTAACTGCCATGGGCACACCTACAGTGAGTTACATGGTGTGCGCAATACATTTGGTCGTCGCTGCTCTTCTGTGCTAAGCCCGCCAGTCGGGCTGTGCTCAGTGCTGTCAGCCGTGGTAACTTTGAGATCATGGAGCAAATCCAATGATAACTGAAAGCAGACACCGATAAATTTCAACAAGATCAAAATATTCAAATATCAAAAGACTTGGACATCAAGCAGTTCTTCTCTCCTGCCACTTCTTCGACACTGTTCAAAACAAATGGAGGACAAATGCAACATCGTAATTTTTCCTCAGAAAGAGCAATGCACAAACAAAAAATCCCTGATATTTACATAACTTTTAGGTTGTATCAAATTCCTGTGACTTTTGATTAAACAAACTAATACAGTAATCTTTCACAATTCTTGAATGTTAGGTTCCCAAAAAACATTGCGAATATTAAATATGTGAACATTGAATCTATATTTTAATGAAGAAAGATGGGTGAAGTTCCTGGATATACAGAATTCACAATTAACAATCCAAAGAGAAGAAATAAAACAATATTTGAATGTTATTTAAAAGATGAAAGTGATTAGACAATTGTATTTGGTTATTTTTGTTTGTTTCATCGACCTCCTCATTGCCTAAATCTTCAAATACGGATGGGTTATTGCTTCTATTTCTCTCTTAAATTTCGAAGTATTGTCCAAGTTCAGGTTGCATTCGAGTGCCCTTTCCACAAGAACATGTTCAAGTTCTAAAACGTCATTAACAGTTATGACTAGACATCAGATGTTAAGTCACTAAAAACTTGGCACCTAAAAAGATACTGAAATATTTTTAAATAGGGACTGCAAAAGGCATTAAAAACTTAAAATTGGACAAAAAACAAACAGGAATATATTTCACTGCACTTGCATCTAAAATTAGTCAACACCAAACAACAATTTATATGAGAGAAAGTACTATTAATGAATCATTAGCAAGTGAGAGACTGGCATCTTTACAGAATAGAGCTCGGTTTCTAGACTTAGTGGCAATGATTAAGTACTTCGCGTGGAGCACAACTCTGGTAACTGCGCGCAGAATGAAGACGCACCTCACATCCAGCAGAACCTCCAGAAGAACATCTGGCATGGAAAGACATCAATGTCAGAATTGGGGATCATCTCCTTGCCTTGTGAGGAACAAGTGCTTTGATTATGTCACGAATCGTAGCTCAGTGTTCACATAAGCATCCACCGTTGAACTAATTGATCAGAGACCAACCATTCTTCATTTTATTTTATTCATTTTGTACCAAGAAATGCGAAAGAAGAATTCGAAAACCGCAATGCAAGCTTTTCGGTTCTAAAAATGCAGTGACCTATAAACCCAAATGACAGGTTCAGTCAAGACAAACAATGGAGATTGTTTACCAGTAGAAAATTTATGTGATTAGTACAACTTAAAAAGATTTAAATTTGTGCTTATCACCAAGAATAACAAGAAATGTATATAAATTTAAAGAAAAAAGCATTTAAGAAGAAAAATGTGTAAAAATGTGTCACAAAAGACCAAAAAAGGCAAAATAAAAATTCATTGTTTAGTTTTCCATAATTCAAGTACATATAATAATAGCCCTTCATTATTTTCATTTGAATAAAAAAGGCATTTTCCTAAACATCTGATGTTTTGACACTGAAGTTGCTCCAGAACGCAGTTTTGCTCCTGTTAGTTTATCACCACTTTGGAGGTGGTTTTGTTTTCAGTGATTTCCCAAAGCTCCTCTCCAGTAAGTAAAGAGAGTTGCACAGATCCTGAATGGATTTTCTGTTCACGCCATTGAAGCCCTTACCTCCTATTTGGCAGAACTGAACTTAATTGAATTATTATTTCAGAACTTTACAGCTGTGATATTCTATTAATCTGAAGCGAGATTCCAACTTGACATTTTTGTGGAATGTAAGACTTTGAGACGGATTCCCCAATGATGCTGTTGAAGAAAATCAAAAATAGCACTTGTTTTTTCAAGAAAAATATAGTGCGACCAAATGCACTAGTGAATGTTTAAGTCACAAATGTCAACACCAGTAACATTTCTCTAAACATGAATGCTGGAAACTCACAAATAGTGAATTTGTGGAGGATTACTGTAATTCAAAAACATTAACGCCAGAGAAATCTTACCAAGTACTCCCAGTCATCTTCAGATCCCGCGTCCGATGCTCGCTTCTTCTTCGCAGCTGCACTCCCGTTGCTGATGCCGTTGAGGTTGCCAAGCGCAGTGCCCTCAGTGCTGCCCCGATGCTGCCCTGCCCCACTGCTAGTGATGTTCGTAAGGTCTCCTTCACTTGGTCCCCGCGCAAGGGCCAACTTTTCCACTTCATAACCACACAACTCTGTACAAAACACACTCGTTCATTGATGAGAATGAATCCCTCAAGAATACAAGGTTCAATGGAGAATTAAATACCAGAAAGAAATGCTAAGAATATTTAAAATAGGGAAACAAGATCTGTGAATTATTCTGAGAGTGTTCATAGTAATATGGACTTATAACTCACAAAACAATAAATAACAGAAAGCAACACTATTTCCTAATAAATTCTCATGGTAATTTTACAATTGAAGTAATTAAATGTGGAATGTACCGATTGCAAATAATATTTTTATTACAAATTATCATATACAGGTTATCATGACTAACAGTGTACAGAATTTATATTTAACAATTTATTGAATAATAATTTATGTAATACATTATTCTTATTACTCATTTTTGCTCCAAAAAGAATGTTGGATATTAAGGCTGAACAAAGTTTAGAAAAGAGTTAAAAAAATAATTTGTCAATGAGTTTAAAAAAAAAAAAGAGACAATAAAAAAAATTGTCATAATTCATTATATTCATTTATTTAACAGGTTGTAAAATACACAAATAAAATATCAATGATATATTATTTCGTGAATGATTTCTCATTGTGTTTGAACCTGTAGACAAATACAAACTATTTATTCTAATCAAATTATTAAAATTATCACAGTTAATGTTTTAGTTGTAATGTCAACTAATTGTTGCCATTGTTCCCTCAATCTGTTGATTTGGGATAGAGCATAATCGTTGTCTAATTAACATTTAATTTTTTTGCTTTCTTCTAAATTAAGGGTTTAAAGATCATCTGAAGAGCTGTTGAATATTTTATACTCAGTAATTGAAAGGATGCATGGATTTATGGACGGATAGAGAATCCCAATAAATACATATCAAATTATAATTTGAAATAAATGCTTTATATAAATTCTAGCCCCCGTAATTAATTAATTAATTACCCAACTAATGTCAATTAATACTCACCAAAGAGCAGCCGAATAAAGAGATGCCATTCGTGATTGGGAGATATGTCCTGGGTGCCTGGAGCATTCCGTGCTGCATACCACCTCACCAGCAACTGCATAGCCAAATCCTTGGGAAGGACTCTCTTCAGAACGCCCAAACATTCCAATACTGCCAACATGCACACACAATTAGTATTCCTTATCGGCCCGGAGGTTGAGAAGTTTCGGGTAGGTAAGACCCTGTTAATAAATAAAAGAACACAAACAAATAGAAAGAAAGAAGAAACACTGCAGATCTGTGTAGGCTCGTGCTCTCAAGTTATGTCTTTCACACTTTATAAGGATGCTGTGCTTATAACCAAGATATCATTAGAATATCCTAAAGCACAATAGTGTTTTTTATTTTCATCAATTTTAAAATAAAGATTATATCTTGCTTATCCATGCAATCACAGTGCTGTAAGTGTCAGAGTTTACATCTGCGTGATAAATAATAATAATAATAATAATAATAATAATAATAATAATAATAATTTTTTATTGTCATTAAGCTTTGAAGGAGAAGGGGAAGAATATACATCCTTTTACAACGCTAGTCAATTTTTCATGGCTTTTTGGCCCCCTAAACTTTAGAGAGGTCCCCCTTGTTGGATATTGAAACAAATTTTTAGTTTTTTTTTTTTCCCCCCCCCCTAAACCAAACTGTTTCTTGGGTTTTCCAAAATAGGAAATTGGTAAAAAAATACATAACTGTTCCCTGTAAGTGAAAAGCGTCCTTGACAAGGTGCTTTTGTTACATGACCATAATACATTATAAAAGTTAAAGTTATTCACTTGTTTAACAATGTTCAACGTTTGTTCGAACAGTGGCTTCAAATTGCAAATGTTTTATGAGTTTTCAGATTCAGTGATTATTCTTACTGTCTTTTTTCTGCAGTTTGAGAAATGTCCTTAGTTGTGGACTGCAAGTTCCCCAGAGCAATATATTCGCGTAGGAGATTACACTCTGAAAAAACTGCAAAAATGAACTTCTTATGTAACATGTCGGGTACAATGGTTTTAGATTTCTTAGTAAGAATGATTACCCTGGAAAGCCTTTAGCGAGCGATATAAGGACTTGATCATGTGGCTCACATGATAATTGGTATCATTTTCAACCACTCTTCCTATATATTTATACATTAAGCGCATTTCACCTTGTGGATATCTTGAGGGTAAAGACATTTGTTTGGGTTTAGGCTTCGTTAAGTCAAAAAACGCGTTTGTGAGTTTCTGAACCGAGGTTATCAGCTCTGGAACCTAGTGATTTTTAGTTCAGTTCGAGAAATTGAAAATCTGAATGACATTTATAAAGGTGGAACATCTGCATACTTATTAGTATGCGCTGGTATCGTGGGTGGCAGGTCATATATCATTTAAGGAACAAATAACAAAAGTCCTAGGATGGAGACCCTGGAGGGAACAATTCAAGCTCTGCTATACCTTGACGCCTCACTTCCAACACAGACGCATTTGTTTGCGGTCCATTAGGTAAGATTTTAGGAGTCTAGACTTGTTCCATTTAAATCCATAATGAATCTCAATTTACTTAATGAGTACTGGTGTGATCTACCACACTCAAATGCCCTAACTCAAATCGCAAATGTGCTTGTGCAATATCCTCTTTCTCAAAAACATTAAGCACTTCTTTTAGTTAGTGTATCTAAAGCATCTAACTGTTACCTCCCTTGCTGTATGCCATTCTTGTGCTTCACTGATTATAGTGGGCGCTGTTCAACGATAATTGATTTAGTTGGTGAGTGCTTACTGACTTCTATTATTGTTAAGAAATTTATAGGTACTAATTGATACTGGGTCTCTATAACTTGTTGCTAAGTTGAGATTCTCCTTTTTTATAGATTGGCACAACTTAGTTAATTTTAAATGGTTTTGAGTAGACCCCTTCCCTAGACACTTTTTTTTATTGCATAAAGAGAGTGGTTATTGCTATGCAATCGATATTATCGAATTCTATGAATCGATTATATTTCTTCAATATGTTTGTTAGATATATCATATACGGTCAACTGGATTCGAAGATTTGAGACTTCCACTATTTTCAACTATTTCGTCTAGGTGTTACAATCAGTGAAGGTAAAAGGTATTATTGTTGTGAGCTCCGCACATGGTGCCTTCCTAATAAGTCGATGGGGGTTGGTGTGATGGCTTCTGTGATGTCTTTTTCGCGGACTTTTCTTCAGAGTTAATATAAGATAATCATTAAATTGATTGGAGTCATCTCGTATGCTCACTATTGTTAACTTTTCTTACACTATTTATTATTGTCCACGCTTTTTTACATTTATTATTTGATGACTCAATGCTTTTCTATAGTTTGCTGATTATCTTGGCCTTAATTGTTATGCCTGTTTATATTCTTTTTCTTCTGCAAGTAAACTGTCTTTGCTGCCTCTGTCTTGTCCTTGTTAATTATCAATAGTACAGCAATTACTTGTCTTTTCAATTTTGCTAACCGGACGGAGTAAACCAATCTGATCCTTTTTGCTTGTGTTTTTTTGTAGGGATTTGTTTTCCAATCTGGTTTTCCTTTGAGGAATGCCGTTTTCATAATATTTAGAACACTATTAAAGAATCTTTCAAAAGTTATTTAAGGCTGACAGATGCGTATTGGAGACCTGATGGCAAATCTTCCCAATTACCTTGCTGAGTGACTTAGGAAATTAATTTATTTTATCCTATTGATTGTCTGAGTGGACTAATATCTACACTTTTCTTTGCTAAAGTATTATCTTGGGTTCACCTTAGTTTACCTTCACCATACTGTTCATGATCCAGAGAAGGGAAGAACACGTGACGTCACTCGGTATGTTTCTGTTTACATTTGTGAAATGTGCGCTAAGCACGCAGAAAAGTTTTGTTGGCGTTGTTGTTTTTGGTCCAGTTAAAATTATAATTGTCCTAAGAATAATTTAAGTTCAGCTTACACTAGGCTTG